AAAAGTCATTTCCAGCAAACAATGATATTAATGTTATACTTTGATTGGTTCTGGAAAATTACATAAAGGAGAGAATTCACAAGCACCTGCAGTTCAAGAGATTCAAGTAAATCAATGGCAAGAGCTACAAAAGGGCCTCCGTGGTGTTGATGTAACCCATAGGTAAATTTAGAAGCACCAAAGATGCAGGGATATAGCTTTCTACTTATATACTTTAAGGCAAAAAATTGGATCCCATATTATTATTGCCATTAACAGAATTATTTGAATTGCCAGATATCAGTCAACTTACTGGTTATATGACCAAGTCAGCAAGCAATTTTCCTACTAAGATGCAAATAAACTTTTGGCATTTGATTTGATGTGCGAGGTAACAATGAATGAAATTCTACAGAACTAGATGCTCAGTACAAACACTGAAGTTTTAGAAGTTGTTTGGCTATAAGACATTCAGGTGTCTTTTATCAGACAATAAGAAATGATGGAATAGCTAGATTTGATAGTGAATACCCACAGATGAATTCTTATATAAACACCTAAATTTCTAATTGATTTGAAGAATAATGATACCCTCTTACTTTTCACCCACTATGCAACATATACCATTAAGTATTTGAAAAAATGATCGGGAGATGGAGCACCAAGCTATTTGCCAACTTGATCTTATTCCCCAAATCCACCATATGAATAAAACCCTATGGGAGCTAAGACACGTTAACATTCAGTTAAACTTCGAACAATCAGAACACAACATAAGAGAAACATCAACGAAATGCAATGCAAAGAAAATAATAGGAATTATATACCACACCCAAGCAAAATAAAATATCACAAGGACCCAAAAAAAGCACAGTATGACGTGAACAAAATTCAGCAACTCTAAATTCTAAAGAAATTAACTTACGATCGATTTGGGGCTTCAATCTTCAGAGAGACTGAGATCTGATAGAGTTGAGCGAGAGAGACTGACCGCTGTGCGTGTTTGAGCGAGAGAGACCGAAAGAGTTTACCAAGAGAGATTGAGATCTGAGTCTGAGAGAGTTTGAGTGGCTGACTGACTGTGTGTCTGTTTGTATCTGTGCATGTTAGAGCGAAAGAGACCGAGAGAGTTGAGCGAGAGAGAGTGAGAGACTGAGCTGAGATCTAGTCTGAGAGTTTGAGTGACTGTGTGTGAGACTGTGAGGTCTGTGCGACTGTGCGTGACTGCGTGTTCCAGTGAGAGAGACTGAGAGTGAGAGAGACAGAGAGTGTGTGAGGTCAGTGTGCGTGACTGCGTGTTGCCGTGTTCCAGCGAGAGAGACTGAGAGTGAGAGAGACAGAGAGTGTGTGAGGTCTGTGCGACTGTGCGTGACTGCGTGTTCCAGGCTTCCAGCGAGAGAGACTGAGACGAGTGAGAGAGACTGAGAGTTGATTAATTAAGTTAATTGTGTTACACTTAGGGGCGTTTGGTTCAGGAATGTTAGATTACTGGGAATATTGGATTACTGGAAATATAGATTACATTGAAAGATTACTGAGAATCTTTAAGAAAATGAATGTGTTTGGTTAGTTGGTGGGTATGTTATATTAATATGGTTGGTTATGGGGAATAAATTGGTGGGTATGTTATTTAAATTACCAAATTGTCCCCTTTACAAATATTAATATAATATTATTTTTATTATTAATTTTTGAATAATTTCTTTTAACCCCCAATATTTTAGATTTAGTTAAAACACCCCTGCTTATATAAAACTTTAATTTATTACGAAATCACCCCCACCTCCTGACGCCACCATAGACCATCACCGGAAGTCTCCGAAAGTCCCCATCAGCAACTCAACGTGACTAAGAGGCTTCAATATGGCTGTTTCCAACCATATTGATGGCCGAAAACGGCCATATCAGGCCAGATCTGGCCAGAAATGGCCAGATCTGGCCATTTCCGACCAGATTGGTGGATCTGGCCATTATCGGCCAGATCTGGGAGAGATCTAGCCGTTAACGGCCAGATCTATTTTTACCAGAATAGATATGGCCGTTAACGGCCAGATCTCGCTCAGATCTGGCCGCTAATGGCCAGGGATCTGGCCATTAACAGCCATATCGATGACTCCCGGAGCCTCCCACCGAAACTCGTTCTTTTTTAGGGACTCCGACGAGTTTTCCGAGGTGGTCCGTGGTGGTTGGCTGCTGTAGGCGGTGGTGGCTGGGTGGCAGTGGTGGTGGTGGCTGAGTGGCAGTGGTCTGTAAATTGTTTTAAATACAAGGACATTATTGTCCAAAATTTTAGTTAAACAAGGGTAAAATTGAAATAGGATATTAATGTAAATTTATTTTAAAATGAGGGTATTATTGTCCAAAATTTTCATTAATAAGGGATAAAATTGTAACAAAAAAGGATAACCCTAGTAATCTCATAATACCTAAGAAAATTGAGGTAATCAGATTACCTCTAATATTACCAATAGTAACTACTATTGGTATTTGAAGATTACCGGAATCTTATATTACTTGACAACCAAACGTGGTAATCAAGTAATAAAAGATAACATTACCCGAATAATCTGATATTACCGCGAACCAAACGCCCCCTTAGGGTTATTGTTACACTCAAAACGACGTAGTTTAGTAAAATCCGGATCGGATTCGGATATCCGATTTTTTAACATTCCCGATCCGGTATCCGATCCGAATACTCAGATTTTTTAAAATAACGATCCGTATCTGATCTGAATTTTTGGATATCCGACTTTTTCAGATCGGAGCGGATCGGATTTCGGATTTCGGATTTTTTTTGCACAGCCCTATCCCTAACCCATAGTCGCCGCTACAAGTCATTTTTAGCATTTTCCGGCACCCATTGCAGCCCTCACCGCTCCCCTCACCCTCCCAAGTCACTTGGCTCTCCGATTCAACTGTATCAACGTGATTTTCACCAAATTCCAGCTGTTGCCATCTTCATTCAAGTGACGTCCCTCGCACAGTCGCACCGCGCACACCTACGCATGAGTTCAGCGCACAACCCACCATGCCCCTTCTTTATATCCACGGTCCCAGCTTCGCATCTCCTTAGCGTGATGTGCATTGTCATTACCTTTGCAGCCACGCCTATGTTGCACGCGATGCATTCGCGCGATTGAGTGGTTGTTGTGTTGTGGATTTGATTGTTGGTGATGAAGTTTGTTTTGGATTGAAAGAAAATTTAAAGGGTTGGGTGGGTTTGGATTGAAGAGGGTGTTGGTGAATGAATTTGAGATGTATAGGATTTTCTTGAAATTTTATTAATTTGGCTAGATGGTGATAGTGGTGGTGGCAATGGTGATGGTGATGGTGATGGTGATGGTGATGGTGATGGTGATAGTGGCAGGGTGGCAGTAATGGCTAGGTGGTGGTGCCAGTGGCAATGGTTGGGTGGTTGGAGATGGGGATGATGTGAAGGTTGAAGAAAATGATGTTATTGAAATAAATTTGAAAGTAAGATGGTTATTTTTCTTATTCTATTAATTTGAGGTTGAAGAAGAGGGTGGTTGGAGATGGGGATGGTAATAGCACCCTCTACACAAGTGTTAGAATCTAAAAATTACTAACTGTATTGGTTTTAGGGTGTAAATCTAGAATTTATGAAATCAAGGATAAAAACTTGCTATTTCACCAAACCTTGCCTTGGAACATGTCGTTTACTCTTAACTAAAAAGAGCTTTTTCTATCTTCCAGAAATATTTGTTCCAACAAAAAGTTGGAGAAGTTTAGCAGTGACTCCAGAAGCTCTGGTCCAACCCAATGATCAAAATGGGCTTACACATTAAAGTTAGCTTTTGCGGCCCAAACTTTAAGCTGAAGAAGATACACAATTTCATATAGAAATGGAATCAATCATCCCATATCCACAAGTTGACCAACACCACCCTTAATTTCCGTCTAAAACTTTAGTAGTTAGGTTGATTAGAAGAATAGCAAAGGCACTTCCCCAGATGGGTGCAATATGCTCTAATCATTTCAGCAACTAATATTTTGTTAATAAAGTGTTTAATGGGGGAATTCCACCAACTCTTCTTTCTCTCCTTCAAAATTATAAAAAGTTAGCAGGAGGGTCCAAAACTTCAACTTTTGAGCATGTACACAGATATAGAGTTCCAGGGAAATGAACAGTTATCATGAGCTTAGCCTTAAAAAAATTTGCTCTTCTTAGCCACCTCACCTCCGCATTAAGCTTTAAGACCAAGAAATGTTCAACATTAGACCCACATGTTAAAGTCCCCTATCAAGACAATTATTCCTTCCCCATGAGAGAAGAAAGAATAGCCTCACTACTATCTCATATTGAATTCTATTCATCTAATAATTATAGGCCATTTGGCTTCTATAAGAATGCACTTTTAGTTTTGGGCTTCCTGCAATCATATTTTATCCTTGATCGAGAGATTCAAAACTTAATAACTAACCCAATAATGGACATCTTAAAAGCTCATAGTGTACTTGTTCATCTCGACAATTAGATTTACGTTAAGATTGCTATGTTTCAACGTTTTCTTTTTGCCCAAAAATGTGCTCTAGAACATACAAAAGCGGACGGAATAAGTACTTGGCTATTGATCATGAAATTGTAACTCTAATGCATATCCGTAGTGCATACAGGAATGAAAGCCTAGAAAGTAAAGGTTAGAGCTAGATATTCCTTTGAGATTGGGTAGATTGGAATAATAGTACCCAACAATTTAGCAGAACATAATCATAATTTCAGTCGCCGACACTAAACTTTAGTTAGTTAACAGTGTCCCCATTCACACTATAAAAAATGTCGATGTCGCACAAAAAGAATAGATACTGAGGGAGAAAATTGTGCCACAACTTTTGATTTATACATCAGTTATTGGCTGACAGATGACCCGGATAAAGCTTATGCTTTAAGCAACATCAGTCAGGTTTATCGCTTAATCAAGTATTAACACTCTGTCAGGCTTACTTATATCAAGCTGTCCTCAAATTTTTGTACATATTTTCATGTGAATATCTCATCATCATGGTATGGCTTGCAACATTTGTATGTTTTGAATATTAATTCCCTTTTTATTTCATATACTGTGCTATTGAGAAGACCCCAGCCAACGTAGTAGAGTACCGTTGTTGATTGATCTTTCCAAATCATTTATATTGCAGGATTTAGTGAATTGAACATGGGAAATGAGATGGGCAACAGTAACACATCCGGCCTGCAAGGTACACTATAATCAGGTTTTTTATGCTTTGATTAGATTCGTATTTGATTATTATATGAATGATTTGTAATTTACAATGTCGATCTCCTAATGCAGAAGAAGAGAATTCAACCACTCAAACTCAAGAGAGGTTTTTGCAAGAAGCTGATCACGTTGATGGTGCAGAAGGTAAAAATCATGTTGTTCCTGTTTCTGAAGTTAAAGACTACAATGGAAAAGTGAATGGGTTGGCTTCTGACGTCCCAAACGGAGCAGGAGATTCTCCTAAATTAAACCAGACATCAGATGGAAGAGGTTAGTGTACGGTCTTTCCTAGGCTAATGAGGCTTAATATTGAATACCAGCCACAATGTTATTTATCTGTCAGCCAGTGTTTATTCACAAAACCTGAGCATTCTGTTTCTTATACAGAGCAAGAAGAAACTGAAGTTAATCATCCTGCTGAATCTCCAAAAGTTGATGCAGAATCAAATGAAGCAGGTGATGAAACCAGTGAAATTCAACAACAAACTTTTCCATCTGAAGATTCAAAAGAACATAACAATCCACCTGGTTACGTAAATGATGGACTAGAAAATCAAACTGTTCCTGGTGCTGAAGGTAAAGACTACGATGAAAAAGAGAATGCATTCACTTCTGATGATTTGAACGGAGCAGAGGATGCTCATTTTTCAGAACAGATACCAGATGAAACAGGTTACTGAATTCTTCATAGCTTTTCTTTTTGGATTGAAAAAGTCTGTCGATTCTCAATGTACCATAGGTTACTTCTGTTTCTTGTAGAGCAAGAAGACACTAAAGTTGATCCTCCTGCTGAATGTCCAAAAGTTGAAATAGAGCCAAACAATGAAGCAGATTGTGAAACAAGTGAAACCCAAACAACTTCTCCATCCAAAGATGCAGAAGATGATGTGAAACCACCTAGTCTTGTGGCTGACGCAGAAGTAGAAAATGGCATAGTTCCTCTAGCTGAATGTCAAGACTACAATGACAGAGGGGTTAATGGGTTGGCTTTTGATGTTCCAGAAGGTGCAGAGGATCCTCATGTTGCAAACAAGATATCAGATGAAAGAGGTTAGTGAATTATCAGTGCATCATAATTCATAAATGGTTATCTTTCAGCTGATGTTTCTTCTCTAAACTAGAGCTTTCTGTTCNTGCTCTAGAACATACAAAAGCGGACGGAATAAGTACTTGGCTATTGATCATGAAATTGTAACTCTAATGCATATCCGTAGTGCATACAGGAATGAAAGCCTAGAAAGTAAAGGTTAGAGCTAGATATTCCTTTGAGATTGAGTAGATTGGAATAATAGTACCCAAAAATTTAGCAGAACATAATCATAATTTCAGTTGCCGACACTAAACTTTAGTTAGTTAACAATGTCCCCATTGACACTATAAAAAATGTCGATGTCACACAAAAAGAAAAGATACTGAGGGAGAAAATTGTGCCACAACTTTTGATTTATACATCAGTTATTGGCTGACAGATGACCCGGGTAAAGCTTATGCTTTAAGCAACATCAGTCAAGTTTATCGCTTAATCAAGTATTAACACTCTGTCAGGCTTACTTATATCAAGCTGTCCTCAAATTTTTGTACATATTTTCATGTGAATATCTCATCATCATGGTATGGCTTGCAACATTTGTATGTTTTGAATATTAATTCCCTTTTTATTTCATATACTGTGCTATTGAGAAGACCCCAGCCAACGTAGTAGAGTACCGTTGTTGATTGATCTTTCCAAATCATTTATATTGCAGGATTTAGTGAATTGAACATGGGAAATGAGATGGGCAACAGTAACACATCCGGCCTGCAAGGTACACTATAATCAGGTTTTTTATGCTTTGATTAGATTCGTATTTGATTATTATATGAATGATTTGTAATTTACAATGTCGATCTCCTAATGCAGAAGAAGAGAATTCAACCACTCAAACTCAAGAGAGGTTTTTGCAAGAAGCTGTTCACGTTGATGGTGCAGAAGGTAAAAATCATGTTGTTCCTGTTTCTGAAGTTAAAGACTACAATGGAAAAGTGAATGGGTTGGCTTCTGACGTCCCAAACGGAGCAGGAGATTCTCCTAAATTAAACCAGACATCAGATGGAAGAGGTTAGTGTACGGTCTTTCCTAGGCTAATGAGGCTTAATATTGAATACCAGCCACAATGTTATTTATCTTTCAGCCAGTGTTTATTCACAAAACCTGAGCATTCTGTTTCTTATACAGAGCAAGAAGAAACTGAAGTTAATCATCCTGCTGAATCTCCAAAAGTTGATGCAGAATCAAATGAAGCAGGTGATGAAACCAGTGAAATTCAACAACAAACTTTTCCATCTGAAGATTCAAAAGAACATAACAATCCACCTGGTTACGTAAATGATGGACTAGAAAATCAAACTGTTCCTGGTGCTGAAGGTAAAGACTACGATGAAAAAGAGAATGCATTCACTTCTGATGATTTGAACGGAGCAGAGGATGCTCATTTTTCAGAACAGATACCAGATGAAACAGGTTACTGAATTCTTCATAGCTTTTCTTTTTGGATTGAAAAAGTCTGTCGATTCTCAATGTACCATAGGTTACTTCTGTTTCTTGTAGAGCAAGAAGACACTAAAGTTGATCCTCCTGCTGAATGTCCAAAAGTTGAAATAGAGCCAAACAATGAAGCAGATGGTGAAACAAGTGAAATCCAAACAACTTCTCCATCCAAAGATGCAGAAGATGATGTGAAACCACCTAGTCTTTTGGCTGACGCAGAAGTAGAAAATGGCATAGTTCCTCTAGCTGAATGTCAAGACTACAATGACAGAGGGGTTAATGGGTTGGCTTTTGATGTTCCAGAAGGTGCAGAGGATCCTCATGTTGCAAACAAGATATCAGATGAAAGAGGTTAGTGAATTATCAGTGCATCATAATTCATAAATGGTTATCTTTCAGCTGATGTTTCTTCTCTAAACTAGAGCTTTCTGTTCTTTATAGAGGAAGAGGACACAAAACTTGATCCTCCTGCTGAATTTCAAAAGGTTGAAGTAAAACCACAGAATGAAGCAGATGTTGAAACCATTGACATCAAACCAACTTCTCCATTCACAGATTCGACACCACTTGAGGTACTGCAAGAATCAATTTTGGAGGAGAATCTGCCGCAACAAAGCGATCATCAGCTACTGAAGCAAGATTCTATCAAAAAAGGTTAGCATGTTTATTAACTCAGCTGACCAATTAAAATTAATATACCATTGTAAATTTATAACTTTTTCTGCTCTAAGTTATACTTATAGAACATAAATGGTTTCCTTTAGACTTAACCTCCACATTGGTAACAGAGGACGAGGGAGGGGAAAATGCAACTTTTGATATAATAACTTCATCAAACGATCCACCAGAGCCTCAAGAAAGTGTAGACTCAAAATTTGATCAACCTGAATTGACTACAATTCATGCCGATCCACCTGTACAGGATAGCAACATGCCTTCACAAAAAATTGAGGATATCCTGCGATCAAATTTGACTTGTTCAGGGGAGGAAAATGGTAAACCGATAGATAGTAGCATACCAAAAGATATCGGTGAAAGTGCTATTACTGCTTCTGATCCAATGGTGGATGTAGAAAGTGATGACTTGACTGTGAAAGAAATGGCATCCAAAGCAGAGAGATTGGAAATTAAAGGTGGAGATGAGATTAGCAATGGTTTAGACGGAAACACAATGATAACCTCAGAATTCTCCTGTGGTGTGGGAAACAACTGCGACGGGGAGTTACCAACTGAGATTAATCCAATTAGAAGTGGTTCCCCTGAAGTAGAGATCGAAGACATTTTTATGGATAAGTCACTAAACTCTCACCAACAAGTCTCTGCAACTACAGATGACTGCATAGTTCTTACAGAAGAAACCGTGTTGATAATAAATGAAGCAGAACATGGGGAGAGTAAGTCTAATCATTACCCAAATCAATCTTTTGAGGAGTCAATTAAAAGATCAAATATTGACAACGTAAATGTGTCTACGTCAGAAGGCATGATGATCGAGTCTAAACCTGAGAAAAATGAAAAGAGAACTGCAGATTATGTTTCTTGTGATTCTGGGAGCAATGAGGACTACATTGAGGAGGCACAGGTTACGGAAGATGATCACCTAGTTGATGTGCATATTAACTATCAGGCTTCCGTGGAACCTTGCAAGGATTCACAAAATGAAGATGAGGTGGTTCCTGAATCCGGAATGGTTATGAAGGAGTCATCTCTTACTGATTGCAAAAAAAAAGAGGCGTCTGAGGAGAAGAAAATGATTGAAGAAACAGAAGAGACAACTAAAGCTTCATGTATCATTGGAGATGACACAGAAGGAAGAGAAAGCCAAAAGCAATGCGAGTCTCCAACACTGCCGGCTGAACAAAATGAAGCATTTCTCCCAACACTTCCGGCTGAACAAAATGAAGCATTTCTCCCAACGTCTCAGCTTTCTCTTGTCCAGCCTCAAGACAGCAAACAGAACTGTGAAAAGGAATCTGATAAAATCCAGAGCCGCAATGAGTATATCTCTGAGATAAAGCAAGAAGGTCTCCCCAAGTCCTTTGTTACTGAAGCTTCATCTTTTGATTCCACAAACTCGATGGCAGAAACTTTAGTCTCTGTGGATCAGCTGGTCATTGAGAAATCGGAGCAAGATCTCTCACAATCTGCCGCAGAGACTATAGCAATTGTAGAAGAATCTAACACTCAAGCAAACCATCTCAGTGGACAAGGTGAAATAGTTGAAACACCTGCCTTTGCAACTGATGATACTCAGGCACCAGAAAGCACGGAGAGACTCAGCACTGAATCAAACCCTGACGCCTCAAACATACGAGCTCAGATGCAAAAATCACCAAGCTTTGACCTTGATCTCCAAATTGAAGCAAGGACAGAAGAGTCAGATCAAACTCCACTCTTGTATCGAGAGAAGACTGCAATTGAGGACTTTTCAAGCCAGGCAGATGTTAGTCTTGCATATACTGAATATGGTCAAGATAAGCATGTGTATCATGCAATGCCAGTGGAAGAAAAAGTTGTTACAATGGAAAGAAGCGAATCTGAGAAGTCGAAAACTCCATTCCTAGGCTTCTTGAAAGAAGAGGAAGAGGCGCATATCAAAGTCACACCACAGAAACATGATAGCAACAATACTGCAAAGAAGACAAACAAGGAATTCCTGAACTTGCCCACAGAGGAAGTTGCCTCAACTTCACCAAAAAGTAAGGAGAAGCGGAAGCCGAGGTCTTTCCTCTTCACCAACTGCATGTGTTGCACAACTGTGATAAATTAAAAACCTTAAAATATTTCCAGTTTTCTTCTATCTTCACATTTTGATTTGTTCTGGTTGAGTTTTCTGAACTTGGGAGTTTTGTTCAGGAGGGAGTCTGTTGATTGGTTAGTATATTCAACATAAACCAAGAAAGTAAAAATTTGTAACCATGACAATCCATTGCTTTTATTCTTTTTTCTCTCTACACTTTTTTTCTTCTAGACTTACAATGTCTTTGTGATGTGAGTCTTGAAGAATCTCTTGATGTAATTTTTGAGCCCTTTTATTTGTTTGATCGGTTGAAAGAATATGTATGGTTTGGAGAGGAGATTGTAATTAAGGCAGATTTGCTGCCACTGATTGTAACATTTCTTGATTTTATTTATAATAATACAATGATGTTGGGGGTTTATAGTTGAATTATCCAGGGCTTTTTTTATGGTCTACAAGCTAGGATTAAAATTATGCTTAAACGGCCATTAAGGATACAAAATTAACATTGCAGTGGTGTTATTATTATTGTTGGTTTTACTGGTAAATAATAAAACACTCACCCACAGAAGCTTACTGCCGCTAGATGATTCTGTAACTGTGATGGTGTTTTCCAGATAGTTAATCAGAATTACCCAGAAAGCCATCTGTAATAAGTCTCTATGGGAAGCAAGTCCATGTGAACAAGGCAACAAAGTTGGGCCTCTAGCCCATGGAGATGTCCCCCGTACTGATTCTAAGTCTTGCAATAAATCACACAAACTTATTACCCAGAAAGCTATTAGTAATAAGCTGGAGAGATAGAAACTGGACTGCACTTGTATAACCCCTTTAAACTTGGCTAGCCATTTGGGGCTGGAAGGCTGGAACATTGCACAACTAGATAGAACCAATAATCAGTGATTTTCCAAGGAATAACAAATATAAGAAAACGAACATCCAAATGGCAGGATTTATACATATGAATTGGCATCTTTTATCAATCGTACAGTATAAAGGCATTTCACTGTACTAGATATGACTAGGACATTAAGTTTTTGTTCCATTACTCCAAAATTCAATGAATATATAGTTTTAGAATGAAACTTTTTATCTCTTTGGGTAATGTGATTGACTTTGGAGTTGAGAGGCAGCATGGCACCAGTATACTCTTGACACTTGAGATGCAGGGCAACAACAAATCTTTCAGGCTTCCATTCTCATAGCATCGTTCAACAAATCTTTCAGGGTTACTGTTTAGTTTATACATTAATTCAGCCCAGTTCAACTTGAATTCTTGGATCCACCAGTAGTCTGAAAAATAGGTTTGAGAGTTGTTTATCATATTGTCACATCACAAGCTCTTCTAGATGATTAAAACTTTTTATTTTATTTGATTGAACTGTTCAAAAAATGTCTTTTAAAATGAGAGAAACATACAGTATGATGTTCTTTGATAGAAAACGTAATCAATAGTTAAACCATATTATGTGGAACAATCAAAATAAGAATTGTGAACAAATGAAAAGTAGACATGAACCGCGTACAAATTGTGAAATTATATAAAACGGAAGGGGACTTGGTCTTTATTTAAATAGTAAGGAAGAGACCTCTTCTTTTACATTTCTTTTCAAAGAAAAGAACAGAGAAATAGATAGTAGATCTTTTTATAAAGATAATGTGAAAGGGACAACCTCCTTTCTTTGTGTATGAAAAGAAATATATATTATAGAACAAAGTTCTGGGAAATTATATCTTCATTACCGACCATTTTCTCTAGTCAAAGTCTTTGCATTGGAACCAAAAGTTGGAGAAATTTCACATCAATACAACTTCTTTGAGTTGGTCTACATTATTAAACAATAAAACCAAATTAAATCATTCTTAATTATTTTGTTTCAAGATGTAATTTCCTAATATATACGAATTCATTTGTGATAAATACGGTGAATTACCTCTCCCTTTATAGTCAAATGACAAACTTTTTAGTCACTAGAGTTAGTTATATCTAAAAGGTATTATGTTCGAGTCATAAGAGAGGTATCTACCATATTTGTATAATTATCTTACTTTATTGGACTTGTAGAGTGTTCCTTAAAAAAATAATAATAATAATAATAAGATGGATTAATTATAAATGAATGATTAAATGGTTCAAATGTAAGGAATGATATGTTAATTACAAATTAATGGTTAAAAAGAGGTGTAAATTTTGTCCTTATTGATAGGGTAGGGATTGATCTATGAACCTCAAATGCATAAAGATATGATCTACAACTAGATTTGATTCTAACTCTTTAACCCTTTAACATATACGTGTCCTTAGATGCAATGTTAATAATTGGTTTTAGGTGACATTTGAAATATATTAAAGAATTTTTGTTCACGCATGAAGTAAAATTGATCCTTTCAGAAACAAAAAGGTCTTCACCAGTTCACCATGTGTTTGGGAACAATGTGAAGCCAAAATCAAATGATCTTATAAGATAATTTAATACATTAAATAAACATGTGGAAAAAAAATATATATATTTTCATTAAAATAGCACAATTGTTGAACTAGAAATGAAGGAATACAATTTAGAATTGGAGAATGAAATGGTACAAGTTATTCTAATCTTCTTTTGGTCATTGTCTACAACAACAATTAATATTACAACAAATAATAGAAACAACACAGCTTTGCTTATTTATTTTCTTTTGAATGTTATCTTATCATACTGACTAAATCCCTTTTATCCAACGGTCATCATCATCTTGACAAATTCATCATAGTTAACTTGGCCATCACCGTCCAAATCCGCCTCCTTGATCATCTGTTCTACTTCTTCATCCGTCAATTTTTCACCTAGATTGATCATGACGTGCCTCAACTGCACACAGACCAGAGAGAATAATAATTAAATTGAAAGCTTTAATTAAGCTAGATTCTCATCCATCTTGGAAGTCGTATTAATGTATATAGAAATATGTAGTTTACGTTCATGCATGTAGATGTACTGAGATATATACGGACAGCCATTTTGCTTAATAGCCTAAACCTGGTGAAACATGTGAGTTTCAGATTTTATTATATGAATATCCAATCTTCTTTATTGGAATACCCAGAAAAGATTCTAAATGAATCATATTTCCAATTATTTCCCAACATTTTTTCTCGTTTTTCTTCAGGAATCGTTGAATGGATCAATGAATTTTTTAAGTCTAATTCAGATGTGCTGTACAGCATTATCTTTATTGTTACATTTCTTCCCTTTTAATTTTCAAGATTCAATACCAAATTCTTTAAATATAATTCATTTTTATCGAGGATTAATTATGACAATAGAATGAACCCATGCATGCAAAAAAAATAAACTTATAATGATAATTTGAGTTGCAAACTGTGAAGGAAAAACAAGATTATTAGATTAAGAGAGAATGGTTTAAGTTTTAGCCTCAGTTAAGAACAAGTATGGGGAAATTTTACCTCATTAGCTGATATATATCCATTTTGATCCTTATCAAAAACTTTAAAAGCTTCCTTGAGCTCCTCCTCAGCGTCAGTTTCCTGATATAAACCAAAAACAAATCTAAATTTCAATCTAATTAAATGTACAAAATTTGGTGATTCTTGGATTTAACTTGAGGTTATTAATTACCTTCATCTTTTTGGCCATTAAGCTCAAAAACTCTGCAAATTCTATCGTCCCATTTCCATCAGAGTCCACCTCGCTTATCATGTCCTGCAGTTCATCTTCCGTTGGATTTTGATCCAAAGATCGAATCACAGTCGCCAATTCTTCAACAGTAATGCAACCTGCACATTCAAATCATGTTCAACAACTTAATATCAAAACCAAAAGATTAAGACACAGAACAGAAAGACTATAATGATTATTAGCACAAATCAAAAACATTAATGTTATAAAAAAACTCACCATCCCCATCTTTGTCAAAGAGACAAAAGGCCTCTTTGAACTCAACAATCTGTTCCTCAGTCAGTACATCTACCATAGTGCCTGCCTGGAAACCTTAATGAACTAAACAAACCTTCAAATTTAGAGAGAGAGAGAGAGAGGAGAGAGAGAGAGAGAGAGAGAAGTTATAGAAAAGAGTTAAGAGTATGTTGAGTATAGCTCAAGCTGAGCTGTGTTTATGTAGAACTTCAATGTGGTAACAAAAATGTAGTGAAATTACAAATATTAAAATATGTATATACTCTATACGTATTAAAGAAATAAGTAAAATAATAAAAGTCAAAAGAAGCTTATGACTAGAATTGGGTGTTATTCTAATGGCGTTATTAGCAAAGAAAGAATCATACACAAATCTCTCNGATTATTAGCACAAATCAAAAACATTTTAATATTATAAAAAAACTCACCATCCCCATCTTTGTCAAAGAGACAAAAGGCCTCTTTGAACTCAACAATCTGTTCCTCAGTCAGTACATCTACCATAGTGCCTGCCTGGAAACCTTAATGAACTAAACAAACCTTCAAATTTAGAGAGAGAGAGAGAGAGGAGAGAGAGAGAGAGAGAGAGAAGTTATAGAAAAGAGTTAAGAGTATGTTGAGTATAGCTCAAGCTGAGCTGTGTTTATGTAGAACTTCAATGTGGTAACAAAAATGTAGTGAAATTACAAATATTAAAATATGTATATACTCTATACGTATTAAAGAAATAAGTAAAATAATAAAAGTCAAAAGAAGCTTATGACTAGAATTGGGTGTTATTCTAATGGCGTTATTAGCAAAGAAAGAATCATACACAAATCTCTCTCTCTCTCTCTCTCTCTTTCTCTCTGTAGCCGTCTTATACCATGACCTTTCTTCTCCTTCAACATGGACTTTTTTGCAGGATAATTAAAACTAAATTCATCCTACATTAATTTACAAAACATATATATATTTTTTTTTTATATAATTTGAAGACAGCTGTAAGGGTTCTATGTTTGGGAGACACAGCATTCAAAAAGAAGACCAAATGGGTATGGGACTATAGGGAGATGTGTAGATTGTTTCTAAATTTTCAAACCCAGAGAGCACGCTGCGTTGCTTGCACGAGCTCACATAGTAGATTACTACCAATTTCTTATTCTGTTAATCACATAATTAATACAAAATCTCCCTTCTAATTACTCCATTTCAAATCTTTTATGCTAGTCAATCGGGTTCTAATTAAATATCACAGATCTTATATATGCTGGGAGTAATAAGTTAGCTGAAGTTCAATGGAGCCCACTCAAATCTTATACACTGAAATTATGAATGAAATATAAATTAAAAAGAAAAAGAAGTGTGAAAGCTTAGCTGAGTCATAAATGTAGAAAGGAATTAATGTGCTTGGCTGTCGACGCGGTTTTCTTCCTGTTATTTGGTAAGGCAGTCAGCTACCAAGACGGTAAGCGTGTGGATTCCTTCTGGTCTTCCTCATCCAGTATTAGTTGCCTAAGATTTTTAATTAATGAAACAAATATGATTATTATGATCATGGTTACTGCATAAAAGAGTACTGTACTTCAAAAGAAAGGGAAAACTTCAAACCTGAAGCAAGGCTACAATTATTCAGTCAATAAGCATGGATTGAAGACACATTTGACTCTAGACTGGTCATATTTTACCTTTCGGTCAGCACGCAATTAACAAGAATATCAACCTTCAAATTAATGTGCCACGACGTGAAGACTATGACCAGAAATTTTGAATGTCACAGGACTTGAACACTTCAGACAGGAGTTGTCCCTGTTGAGAAGCCATGGACTTGTTGACTGTCAAAAAGATGTTTTTTTTTTTTCTTTTTCTTTTTCGTTCAATAATGTTTTAAAAAGGATTATGGCTAAATACAAATAGGTAATACAATAGACCTTATTTTTACAAACAATAAATTTGTTGAAATTTGTTTTAGATATATATATCTCTTGAAATTCTCAAACATCTTTTCTACATATTTGATTATTGATGATTTAAAACAAAAATGAGAGTCAGTGATGAAGATATATTGTAGAAGAGGCAAAAACATTTTTCTCAAAATTAGAAAATTCCAAAATAAAAAAACTATATACTTGGATAGCCAAGCCCGTGAAATTCTCTTCGAGGTTGGGTCTCACTTGGGCCAGTTCATTCAAAGCCCAGTCGCCCAAGATCCAAACTGAGCCTGGCTTTAATTTACGAATTCAATGTGGTTTTGTATACTATCTATTGAGTTAACGACATATTCTCACTTAGGTTTAACGAAATCCAAGTACATCTAGTTGTATTTATTTCAGATTTTTACCCTTAAACTAACACTGTTAATGATTGTGGAGGTGGTCAAAAATGGTGATGAGGTCGCAAGTGAATGGGGGGTTTTGTTAAAGAGATTGTGGGGAGTCCAACGAGGGTCCGGAAATGATTTTGGACTCGAATTGGCCCAAAAAAAAGCCAAAAACCACCAGCGGACGCTGCTAATGTGAGTTTTTTGCTACCTAAACCGTCTTCTACCAAGAAAGTGTCAACCCACTTTAGCGTGCTAACATGCGTCGTGTACAATGAAAAGTTGGGTATCTGGTAAAATAAAGGAACAGCGTTACTTTAAAGTGAGAATCTAGAATAAACAACCAAGGTATCAACTTGGGATTTCTAAACCTCGAATGGAAATATGTTGTTTGCTCCTATCTATTTAAGTAAACAAAACTCAATTTCATACATTCTACTTCTCTTCCCCTCTTTCTTCTTCCTATAATCACGACCAAGTTTGCTAAAACTTTAAACAAAATTTACTCTTCCACCTGCACTACTTCCTTGTTTCTCTTTATCTTATGAATGTAACGTGGGTTTACAGTGGATAGTTTGTTTTGTTTAATTGATGCAAAAAATAAAGAAATGAGAGTGACCATGAATTTTGGGATTCTTGATTCTGGCTGATTGTGTTTTAAGATAATGGTAAACTTTGATTAAACGACTTTTTCCCACCCAAATAATGGCAACACTTTTTCACCCAAAAAGTTTCAAAATACTTTACTATCCAAACCACAATTTTGTTAATAAAAATTGGCTGAAAAGAATGACATAATGATAAAAAATTCATTATAAATAAGGGTAGGGTTGTCAATTAACATTCAGTATTTCTGAAAACTAAAAAAGGTTACAAATAAAGGTTAGCCATGTTTCCGTCTCCAATTGTCGGCCGACGGCCACAACATCTTCACATGAATTCACTGTTTAACGGCCAGGTTTTTGTCGTTTTAGAAGCCAGAATTCACCCCTATCACCACCATACGAATCCCCTTCCTCACCTCTTCAAAACCCCACCCTCTATTGGCCTCCCCTACTCGCCATTTTGCTATCGTGACCTACACCCACCGCCGCAAGACAATCACATTTTGCAACCACAATCCCCTGCAAAACATTGGTTTTTTTTCTAGTGTTGAACTATGGTTTGCTATTTGAAGTGTTTGTGTTGTTGTTGTGTTGATTTTTTTAGTCGTCAATCATTCCCCTATCTCTCCTACTTTGCTGCTCCATCCAAGCCCACCACATGTTCGACCTATTGTCCCAACGAAAAGCCCCAATCACTAGCAAGCCAGCATGCGCACAAGACAACACGCACAAGCGCCCAACGCCATCAAAACCAGCGGCGTTGGCCTGCCCCTTCACCACCACCAGATTCCCTGACCTACATACTCCAAAACCCTCTTGACTATTGCCCTATTGCTCCCACTGTTCGCCATGTTATTTAGATACGGGTTTTGCCGTTCCCAACTGAATTCCGGTCGATTCCAATGGCCAAAATCCAAGTCGTCACCACCACCAGATTCCCCAACCTCCATACTCCAAAACTGCCTTGACTATTGCCTAATTGTCCCACTGTTTGTCAACGCCGTTTGGATTAGGGTTTCACCTCTTCCAGCCGAATTGGCAAAAATCCAAATCATCACCACCCCCTACTTCATCAACCCCCCTCTACAAAACCACCACCACCACCCCGCTACCCACTTGCTCGCCATTCCTCATTCAAGCGACGCTACTGTCTACCGCCAATTTTGGTCCAGATAATAATAAAAAAAGAATTAAGTTAAATAGTAAAGAGTATTTTCGTCTTCACAATGCATATCACTATATATAACGGAAATTATTGACGGAACATAATTTTTGGGTAATAAAGTTATATTTTGAAACTTTTAAGGTGAGAAGTGCCATTAGACCATTATTTGGGTGGGAAACAATCATTTACTCGATAAACTTTAGCCTTGTTGAGTAGCTATGGAACACATGCCTGTCTTCTTGGACCCAAAGTAAATTATTAACATAATTTTTTCTCACCCTTTTTAGCAATCTGAAAGCATTTGGTTCATTTTTCTGAAAAAATCTGTTTACCTTCTCTTTTTTAATGCAGTATCGCTGCCCAAATGACGTGAAAGGGTATCTTTCAGGATCTGAGAATTCCTATCAAAAAAAAAAAAAAATTGCAATTACAGATTAAAAGTAAAACATGCTCACAATAAAATAATGAACCAGTCAAAAGAAGAAGTAGCTAAATTTACACAAGCAATAAAGTTGTAGTTACAAATTAAGTTGCTTAGAGTCGGTACATACTGTTACATTAACCTCACTAAGGCTACCAGTTGCAGCCATAACAGCTGAGCTTTGCAGCATTGCTAGTCACCGGCCAAGGAAATAAAACAAGATGTCTCATCTGTCTTACTCCAAAAGGAATAATGTTGATCAACAAAACGAATGACAGATTAACCAGCTCCATAATCAATCGCAGACCCTCAAATCTTCCTCCTATTTCAGATCGGCTGGCCCTTTGGAACAATTTGATCTTTGATCCACATGTAGATGGGAACCAGTACATAGTAAGTTGCTGCAATGACCCCAAGAAGAAACCTCAGGAAGAACACAAAGGGATTCACAGGCTTCTTTAAATCCTCTGCCTTAGGACCAAGCTGCAGCAGACACATCATACACCTCATATAAGAAATGAAATTTATGTAAAGTTAAGCCTTTTTATACTAGATTTATTATTTTTCTAGTTATGATTATCGAATTGTAGGTCAAAATGATACATGGCAGTAACTAAAGCTCAGCAACTTCCAACTCCATGGTCTTTGTTGATACATACTTCAGGGGATGCAAACTTTTACAACCAGCTCTACTGAAAGCAGCTTCGCCATCACATTTATCTCTAAGATTGAATTTCTTGTGGAATTCATACAAATCCCTCAGAATATAGAAATTTAAATGAGATTAGAAAGAAAAGCAATTCCATTTCGATAGTCAACATTAAAGGAAATGACATTTCTGTATTCTCTATTACTTTTAGCTTGGACACGAAGAAGTGCCCAAAAGCTTAAATGTCTCAGCAGATTCTAAACTTCAGCCTGTGCAAATCTTAACAGAGGCAAGGACGAATAGCACAACGAAAGTAAGGATAAGAAGCATTAAAGAGTCCTAATATGAAAACAGCAAAAGTAAGGTTGCGAAGAGAAGGAATGATTATTGCTCCCTCGCAATTGCATAACTATGTGCTCCTTACAACTTCAGAAACTATGAAGTGTTTCTAAAGTCAAGACCCTAAAACCATTTATTAATCATCTAAAAAATCAATAACTGCATCTAACTACATATATGAACCATGACAGATCACCCTTCTTAACAATGCACCAACACACATCTCAAGTTTTAAGCTCAAAGCCGTTACCTGTAGAGGAGAGTCTCCTGATAAAGGCTTCACACCTGTAACAGAGCAACCCATGATCAAGCCATGCCGACGGACTCCGCGGTACCATTTTGGACCAATCCTTTTCAGTTTAACATCCTTGAAACCAGCTTTTTTAAACCATTCAATATAATCTTCCTCCTTTGGAAAGAGCATCCACATATCTGCGAAGAATTGAGACAACCAAAAGGTTGGATACACAGGACCTATGACACAGGCTTTTCCTCCTATTTTTAGTACCCTGTATGCTTCTTTGATGCCACGTTGTGGGTCTGGCCAGTACTCGATACTGAAGAACAATATCAATGTATCAGATAACATATAGAGAAGCTATGCCAAGTGTTAATCATAGAAAATAACTATTTAGTACAGAATTGGAGTTCTATCTTCGAAAAAGACTCAGATATGAAAGCCAGATCATGCTTTAGAGTCAAAAGCCCCAACAATTTCAGTTCTCCTGGATGTCATTACATTATTTTAACTGAAAAGCTAAATGTAACATTCTACAAAGTTAAAATTGAATCCAATTTGATTAATAACTCATTCCAATCATGACTGATATTACCAATTACAAGTCCGAGCCATCAAATTTCTCTCTAAATTTCAATTACAAGTTATAACATCAAAATTACCCTTTAAATAAACCAGAATCCTTTTATATTGCAAAAATACTAAAAGAAATTACCTTCCAGCTGACACATAGCGATCTGCATAATCAGTAGGGAAGGGGAGATCCTCCGCATCACCTTCAATTATCGTGCATTCCTTCAAGGGCTCCTTCTTTTTAGCCTTGGCAAGCTGATGCGGTGACTGGTCAAGAATTGTAACATTTTTGGCATCCACATGCTTAACTATACCAAGAGTTGTAAAGCCAGTCCCACCACCAACATCTACCACTCTCATATTCCTATCAAAGAGATCAGCAGGCTCTAACGCCTCATCTCTCATGTCCTCAGTCCAGTGACCTGGGTTTATGATATGGTCATACACTATAGATAAGAACCTGTAAAACCAAAATGCTTCTTTCTTGTGTTGTATGAACCTCGGCTGAGAAGCAGGCCTTGAAGATGATATACTGCATCTGGTTGTCAAGATCCTACCATTTTGGTTCCTATTATAAGACACTAACCCTTTCTTCGGGAAGTACAAGCACCTAAAATGGAAATCTGAGCCCGCAAATCCTAACCCGGTTGGAGCTATTCCACTCATTAGCTTAAGATTATCAGCTCCACTCAGAATTGAAGAAGCGATGAATTGGCAAAACAAAAATAAGAAGCAAGGAAAGACATGTATCGACTCTTAAGTCCTAACTGAAAACCAGCAACTCAATAGGCATGTCCAGTTGATAAAATTAAGAGGGAGTGTAATAACAAAATTTTGCTGGAGAATAAACAATAAAGATTCAATTTTTTGCAAGCAAATCACATGGGTTGCGATAATGGGAGAACTCAAATATATTTTAGAAAGAGTGGAAGAAAATAAACCATGGGAGGAGGACAAAAGGACAAGGTTAAAGAGCTTTGCGTCTTTGGTAGAATAAGCACCACATGTAAATAAATGGTGATTGTATTCTGCTATAAACTGACTACTCAGAGGATGGGGTCATGGGCACCAGCTAGGGTGGCCCGGTGGGGATGCCTCTCTATCTAGTATCTATCACACGAAACGACAGCGTTGTAGTCTCCAATATAAACACAAACTAGTGTAATCATCCGTTTAAGTATATCAAGTGCCAACACATTTCTTTTTGCTCTCCTTTCTTTGTTCTTTAAATTTATAGCTCTTCTTGTTCTTGAAGGAGCGGATTTGAATTTGGGTTTTCAGCTCGGGCACCACGTGCCACGGTTGCATATATATAATGTTGAGTAATACTACTCAAACCACGTATTCTCGTAACTTTCTTTTACAACTCTAATATGTTAACATATTAGTACTGTTACGTCAACTTTCACCACACCTAAGACATCTAAAAGGAACAGTCGTCATTTATGAAAGAACTGTTGCTCCTTCATAAACAACAATTCCTTCATACAGAATGATTGTTCTTTAAAGAACAACCTTATTCTTTCTTACAATGTTGTTAATAAAGAATGATTGTTCCTTACATAAAAGAATGGTCATTTCTCATAGAAAGAATGGTCGTTTTTTCGACCTAGTCAAAATCATTCTTCGTCTTGGGTGTGATAGAACTGTCATAACAATGTCAGGTCAATTGTCACGTTAGGATTGTAAGAATGTATTGTTGGAGTAACATCATTTTCTGCACTTAGCTTTAAAATTTTAGGGCACAAGACATGGATTTAGTCAAATAACTTATTTGGGATGTTTATTAATTCCCCACCATCCAGATGCCCAATTTAAGATCGGATAAGCTACAAAGCTAAAGCCAAGGCATTACATTAGACGGATCAACGAGGGGATAAAGATCTGTTCACAAGTTAATCTGCAACGTGCCAAAGCACTAAATGTTCAAGAAAAAAACCCTATTATTCATGTTAAAAACTATTTTCTTAGGAAGGAACTATTAACTATGTATTACATACGACTTCCTTTATACTTCCTTTCCACCAAAAAAGAAATGTATATAAATATTTGAAGACTCTTCAGGAATTATGGTTCAACAAACTCGGAAGGTTTCCGAACTTCCCGGAGCTGAACTGAGTTGTCAAAGCAGTGATAAAAGCCATAGTGTGGGAATCTCTCATACCATGTATCTTGCTGCTGATGTGTGTCCCAGTGCTCCCCACTGCTGCTCTTTCCATACTTGTGAACCCATCCAGATCCATTGTGACCCTCACCCCAAGTACGATTCCAGCGGTCTCCATACTTACCTTCCCACCATGTCTCCCCCTGCTTGACACCATGACCATTTGGATCAAAATTTTCATCCCATTTGTCACCCCACTTCGCCCAACCATCACCTTCACACCGCTCAGCCCATTTGTCTGTGTACTTAATGCTGCCACCATGTCCATCATATTTTTCACCCCACCTGCCAAAGGTATAAAATATTTGAATGAACACACAACAAACAGAAAGCAAATTATATCATAGAACCATCTATATGAACATGAGGCAATGAAAATGTCTTGAAATATGATACAGTTCAGCAGATTTATGTATCATTACTACATGACCTAATCCGTATTGCTAGAAAAAAAGAAAAAGGACTGCACTGCACTGCACACATGAGGTACATGCAGAGTGATTACAGCCATTATATTCTAGTTCTCAACTGCATGTCGTAATTGAAAAGTCAAACTCTTGTATGAGTCCAATTAACCAAGACCAATAGACATGATTATTTCCAAGGTCATTAAAGGCAGGAATTCCAAAAATGTATCACAATTGAACAATGATCAAAACCTTCTCGAGTGTTCCAACTAATCCAAAAAGCTATGAAAAAACATCACACAATTTGTTGACTATGTCTCTACCTAGTGTCAATTAATCAAAAAATGATGGTTATTTTGGGATTGTAATCAAAACCAATTCTAACAGATACAAGGGAAAGAGCAGAAATTTGTAATCCTCTCCGAATTTTGGTACCTTTCATGCCAAACATGAGCATGACCAACATCAAGGGGTGTGTTTGGGTCAAGGCTACACCACTTGTGGGCCCATTTTTCTGATTGACCAGAGGCATCATAATGTTCCCACCACTTCTCTTGCCACTCTTCACCTATTCCGTTCTTTCCCCACTTATCTGCAGTTTTCTCAAGATGCATAATGCCAGACTCCTGCATGAACAGAAACTAACAGATCAGTTTGTTTTAATATATTTGCCACATTTCTTTAAAAATCTATAAGCATTAAAACATCTTCTTCCCTTTTCACGACATTTGTATTTGCATTAGCTCAGTAAGCTAAAAACAGTTTTAGAATTTGAAAAAAAAAATTAAAAGTTTAAGAAATTGTTAAATTATATTAAGAGCTTCTTTTGGTAAAGAATAATACTACATATACAACATTTTTATACAACATGATATGCCAAAACATGATTGGATGAAAGTTTATTTTTAATTTAAAATCAACCAATCATTTTTTGCCACATCATGTTGTATGAGAAATGTTATATAAAAATGTTGTATGTATAGTATTATGCTTTGGCAAATGCATAAGGTACTTTGATAGAAGTCTTCAAACCACAATTTACTTTTTGTAATTTACATCAAGAAATCCTTCTTACCAGCCTCATTGATTCCATCCAAAACTCACGCCAAACATTACCCGTTGCATCACGTCCTGACTTCTCCGAACCAAGTTCCTTGTAACCTAACTCGTCAGCTGCCTCCCAGAACTTCTCTTGCCACTCAACTTTTTTATCAGCACTAACACCCCTGGTCATTGTCCATCTGCAAATCACACCATCAGGTCTTTGCTCGATTCCTGTCTCCTTCCACCACCTTAAACCATCTGGATACACTCCCTGAGTGGATAATTCATCAACCTTGTCAAGAGCATCTGCCGCTTCTGCTGCGTGGGCTGAAGACAGAGCACCAAGTTCGTGTTCTTCCTTTAAGGAAGGTGCCTCTGGACTGGCCTCAGAAACATTTTCTTTTAGAACATCAATCAGAGACTGAAAAGGAGGAAGAGGGACGTGGTTGGTGTCAGAAAGTTTACTCTCAAATGGAATTGGAAGAGTATCCATGGATCGTGTTTTCTCTGTCACGGTGTTTGTCGAAGGATAGACAGTAGATTTCCTAGCCATTTTCAAGTCATTTACATCATCCAAATTTCCATCACTGTCTTGAGGGGGGGTCCAGGACCAAAAATCGGGACCTGGCGTTCCTTTTCCAGAAGTTTCTGATCGAGGCACGAAGATGCTAACATTCTGCGTTCCTAATAGAATCAAATAATCATAAAAAAGATTCAGAAGAACATTCCTAATAACATCAGTATCAACTCAAAATAGAAACAGAAATTATAAGGTAACAGAATCGGAATTTTTGAGACACAGACATTTGAAACATGGAATGTGCATTTTTTATATTAAACATAAAACAAGTTACAACAAAATAAAACTTCTAAAATGCTACATGCTTAACATTTCATAATCATATTACAACTATTGCTCTCCACCTGACAAAATAAGTCCCTCTATACTAGTAAATCCCAAATTCCCATTATCGAAGATTACGTTTTTACGACTAAGGCAGACGATCATTTCAAAAATCCAAAGAAGCATCACTATTTCCTTAATTATCCAAAACCCCACGGCCTCTTCAAATCATTTTTTTTTTACAACAATTTATAAACATAAAATAAAATAAATAGAAAAACAACATGAAAACAAAAAATTTCAAATTTTACCTCCTTGAGTCTTACCTCCTTGAGGCACCCCAATTGGCCCACCAGTCTCATTCTTCACGACAGAATTGGACCCACCACTCTCATTCTGCACGCCAGAATTTGCTCCACTACTCTCACTCTTCACAACAGAACTTGCACCACCACTCCTACTGCTGACGGAAGACTCTTTTTTCTGCTCGAGGAGCGAGCGAGCCGCCGCGATAGCCGCAGCAGCACGGTCAATCACCTGCATACGCTGAACCCGGTCACGGTCCTCCTTAGAAACTTCCAGGAGCTTCTGGAACTCCTCATTTTTTTTATCGAGTTCCTCTCCGCCAACATTGTTATCATCACCAGCAGCATCAGAATCCACCAACGTTTCGGCGATTTTTTGGAACTCGATATCCTTCCTCTCGCGATCTCGTGCATTCCTCCACATGTCGAGGTAGGAATCTCCTCCATTTAAGGCCCTAACCTTCACTCTGGTTCGTCCAGTTCGAGGATTGATCTGGCGGTGTGCCAGTAAGGTAGTGGTGAAACGAAGCGGGAGCTTGGGCTGGTGCGCGGTGGCGCGTGGGGAATGGAGAAGCTGAGAAGCCATAGTTAGAGAGAGGGGGAAGAGAGAAGCATGGGAATGAGTGAGTGTAGGCGGTTGATTTAATTTTAAACATTAGTTTTTGAAGTTAGCGCGTGAAGGAGGGGAGTAAAGTGGAAGGGTGATTTTGATTTGATTTTGACTGATTTGTTTCGTGGATGTGAAGGAAAGGTGCGAGATGCCGAGATCCTATCTGGTGGGGCGGAGAGAAACATTGGCCGATGGTTTGTCTGACAGGTGGCAACTTTTGAACGATGCGAAGTTTCTATAAGAAGAAATAGAAAGTTAGTAGACTGAATAAAGATTCGCTTTACTTTTCTTAAAGCAATTTTACATATATAAATTATTTTTATCTCCATTTTTCTGTATTTTTCAGTACGATAATAAATTATTATTTATTTATATGCAATTTGCATAAAATTATCAGAATCTTATAAGATTGCTATACAAACTTATCCCATATCAGGTGCAAAAGATTTCATATAAGCTATACATTGTGAACAAACTTCAACTTCAATTTTTATTTTTAAAATAAATGGTTTATCTTTAAATTTACGACGGAATTTGAACCAAACTGACTCTTTAGTTAACAGAATTTTAATTTTTAAATTTATAAGAGACTGGAAATCATATTAGTGCTATTTAAATTTTAAGATTAAGGAATGATTTGACCAGACAAATTTTTTTTTTTCTTTTTTTTGACTTGTTCAGGGCAATTTGCGTGCTTAACTAATCTTGGAGTCTATTAAATATCCTACAAACTATGGGTGTTCAAAAGAATCGGTTGAAACCGGAACTGGCGGGTATCTTGGGTTTGGTTCCGGTTCCTACCCAGAACCAATCATCAATGGGTAGGTTCTGATTCCAAATTTTTGGAACCGTTATTGTACGGTTCTAGTTCCGATTCCTATAGTTAGGAACCAAAATCGGAACCAGGAACCGAAACTAATATAAAATTAAATTAAAAATTAAGGGGCCTAATAAAAGCTTTTGTAGAAAAAATAACGTGAAAACATTTATATTTATATTTCATCACATTTAAAGTAAGTTGGTTTGACTTTTGAGAATCTACCTTTACAAAGTAATAGAGTTTGTAATTTTATTTTTGTTAACAAGTGCAGGGGGGTATTTTTACGTTTTTTAAGGGTTTTTTTTGCTATTTTAAAAACCTTTGGGGGGTCTTGTAATTTTACAGGGTACCTAGAACCGGAACCGAAACCATTGTTATAGGTTTTGGTTCTAGGTACCTATGAACAAGAAAGTCAATTCCGATTCTAGTTCCAAATTTCAAGGAACTGTCAGTTCTGGTTTCGGTTCCTTCAAAAAGTGTAGGGTACCCAGAACCGAACACCCCTACTATAAACCCACAAATGTAATAGACAATCTCAAGATTTGAACTCAGAAATTTAATAAAGAGAGTAAACCAGAGTTAAATTTTTGAACAATTTTCCCGAAATTAAATCATACACGTCCTAATTTCAAATCCCACATCACACAAACCAAAAATTGAACATACAATTTTAAATTCTCTACATTCTTTACCTTTCATTATTTTGTTGAAAGTTACATTGACTCGTCTATCCATGTTCTATTTTTTTTTTTTTTTTTTTTTAAGATAAACAAATGTTGAAACTTGGCAGTTGGCATCCCGAGTTCTATGGACATTCGTTTTGATCCTTAGGCTGGGATCAGCACAGCAACTCAGCAAAATTAAACGAAATATAGTTACACTAGATTTGGGGCAATTTCGATTAGATGAGGCCCAATAATAAGAGACGAATGAGGTTGAGCTTTATGCGTTTATACGGCCCTGCAATTACCCAAATCTACCTAAACATGAAGCATTCAATCAGAAACTGATTATTTCAGTATCTTAATACCAATATTTACAACTCACGAGGAGCACTGGGGTCTGGAGATTCAAGAAAAAAAGTACTAAAAATGTAAAAACTCCTGCTCAAAAACTCCACTACGCCACGATACTGCCAGTCTGCCAAGTGCCAAATAGTGAACATGAGGCGTTATTTTTAAACCACCTTTCACTCCCTATAAAACAGCTGGACCGAAGGTTCCCCCAGGTGGCAGAATATCCGGTGGCATAGTCGGTGGCGGATCAATATTCGGCGGAGTAAAAGGCGGTGGGATGATATCCGGAGGTGGGTCAGGTGGAAGTTTATCCGGTGGTGGTGGTCGGGGCGTGCCTGGCGGAGGTAAAGGATTATCAGGAGGCGTATGTGGTGAAGGTGAGGGCGGAACGGGGTAATCTGGGCCAGGGATAGTAGTGATTTCTGGTGGAATAGGATCTATCTCTGTATCTGGAATCCTGGGAATTTCAGATGGAAAAGGACTCGGTTGATAGTCCGGATCTTTAGAAGGGAATTCTGCTGGGGTTTTTCCCAGAAACTCTGGTGTAGCGGAGGCGGCAACATTGGCAACCGAAAGACGCAGTTTGTTTCTTGCGTTTCCGAGACGTCTAGTGGTGATCCCGTACTTATGCGGCATTGCGGCAGAAGAAAGTGCGAGAATTAATGGAGTTTTAGGTGTGGATGGACACAACGGGATCGCTTTTCTCATGAGGTTTGATGAGATTGCAGAGACAGTAGTGTTGGACATTTTTCTCTTCGGGAACGATGAGCAAATCAACCTAGAAATAAACCACGTACTTGAATGATTATATCGTGGAAGGATGACACGTAGGACCAGGTGTCACTGAGATGACAAGTGTACGCCTAGCATGCAGAATACCCACTGTTTCTGTTTTGTTTCTTGTTTAAAACTCGGTCAAACAAAAGAAAAACTTCATATACTTATGCTACATACTAAATGGAAGTATGGAACTACATAAAATGTTATGCGGCAAGTCGCAGGTTAAAACTTCTTCCAATTTTGTTCTCTATGTATTTCAATTTCACTAACATATATATATTCCAGATTCGTTTTCTGATGTATATGGGCAAAATTAGGAGCTTGATCGAAGTCAGAAGTTCTCTCCAAATATAGGTTTATACGGCCCTGTCGGGTTAACCGATTTAACAGAGACTCGGAGCCTTCGTAGGGTCGGATATCCAATTTCACAATTCACCTAAACCCTAGATTTGCAATTTGCAAGACCTAGAGCCTTCATAGGGCCGAGAATCCAATTTCACAATTCATCTAAACCCTAGATTTACAATTTGCAATCTGTGAGTAGAAGGTGGCCAGGATTTTGGGGGTTTTCAAAAGGAAGTGTGGTGAGTTGAAAGATGGCGATGGAGGTGATTTTTGGTGAGTGAAACATCCGAGAAATGCAAAAGTTTCATGAGAGTGAACAAGAGTAGGGGTGAGCACGGGTAATGGGTAGAACCGGAACCTACAGGTAGAATCGAAACCGGAACCGACATTATGCGGGTAGGTTTCGGTTCCATTTATTGGAACCGACATTGTGCGATTGTGGTTCCTACAAGTTCCGGAATCAGAACCTGAGAAAAGAACCTGAAGCGGGTACTCGGATTGGAACCTGCTTGTGTTTTGGTTTTGATTGAGAAATTTTATATAAATTGTGATGAACTGATTGAATTTAAGTGTTGCCTAGAGATTAGATGATTTATGAGTCACATTGGACACAAATGAATGAGTAATCAAAAGTTGGAAACTACTAAATGTAGGTTTCCTTAATTTGTTAGGGGTGTATTTGTAAACTTTTGAGGTATTTTTGTCAATTTTTAAAGTAATATGGGGGTAATTGATTTCTTACGGGGTACCCGGGTAAAGATTGAGAACCTGCATTTCAGGTTCTGGTTCCTTGAATTTAAGAACCGAAACCGACAGGTTCTGGTTCCAGTTCCTGTTTTTGGGAACCTGCACTGTGCGGTTCCCTTGAAAAATGTAGGATACTCGAAACTACTCACCCCTAAACATGAGAGGGTAGATGGGTTTTGGTCAGGAAGCTGAGGGGAATATTTTCGTGCTGATGGGGAGGGTTGTCGACGCTGGCGATGGTTCGATTTCAGCCAGATCTTGGGCAAATTTACTAGAGAATGGCTCAAAGGATGATTGAGATTGCATTTGGTGCCACTGCCACCAACCAGTTAATCGTCAATTGCATTTGGAGTGTGTTTGTTGGATTTCAAACCTATAGGGACTTAAGTGTAAGTTTCATGGGTGTATTTGCTGAATTTTAAACTTGTAGACTCGTTGATGTAATTGGTTTGACCCGTCAGTCAAATTGATTAAACTGGTCAATGACCCACCGGTCAAACCAATTAAACCGGTCAACCTGACAACTTTGTCGAGTTTCACCTTGGGTTAGTTATTAAAACATTAGTTTATAGTTACGATTACAAATTATTATACATGTGAACTAATTTACTCGAAACTATTAAAACTGAAATCAATTAGCTACAATATTTCGCCAAACATTATCACAGGACTCAAAACTTAAACATTGCAGGTAAATGATCACTTCTATAGAAAAACAAAATTATATTCTATAAATAACGAGATTATTTTATTTTATTTTTTTTAACAAGTTTTACAACTGAAAAAATTTGGTATTCTTCATTGACGATCAATTAAAAACCTCCATTATTTTGTAGCTTCAATGAAAGATTACCAAGATTTACTATATAAACTAATTTATTTTAAGCATTGCCATAGGTAATATAGGAGAAAAATAAACATTCTTATAGAAACTGCATGATACAAGATTTCTAGAAAAAGATATGAACAAAATGTGGAGACTAAATATCTGGAGGCACAGGTGGACGTGGTTGCGGCGGCACCTGTGGGGACGACACTTAATCTGCTGGAGAGGGAGGCGGTGCCTCATCTGGAGGTTTGGGCTGTGGATTTTGGGGCAGTTTCACTGGAACGTCAGGAAACGGTGGTGTAGGCAAGGTGGACCTGGAAACACCAGGCCTAGGTTTGGGTCCGGTCCAAGCGGCGAAGCATCACGTGTAGTTGCGGTGGTCAATTCTGGTGGTGTAAGATCTCCCCCAGCTTGAGCACCAGCAGTCTTGGGGATGTCTAGCCACCAAGGTTTTGGCGTCGAATCGGTCTGTGTTTGATTAATTGATTGTGAGGTTGGAACTGAAATGAGAAATTTCGCGTAGTTGTAAAGGTGATGTTGTCAGGATTTCATAATGATTGTAGGGTGTATTATTTAAAAGATTTTAAATTTGGATCATTATTAATAAAAATAATTATTAAAATTTTTATTTAATTAATAATTCAAAAATTTTTAAAAATTAATTGAAATGTACCAGAATATCTTTCATCATTCAAAAAAAAGAAAAAAAAAAAGGTAGTAAATATAATACAGTTGTATCTTAAAGAAAAGAAACAATGTGGAATCGTGGAAATAAATGTTTATGATTATGTGATAAGGGACTTTTATAAAGTAATTCATAAAAAATTCTGGCTTTACAGAAACTAAAAATACTTTTATGTTCAAAGTGCCTTCCATCGTGAAAATTGAAACATCATTTTCAATCTAAATTAATGCCTTTTATTATTATTATTTTCTCTTGAGAGTCCAGACATCCCAAAAACTGGGACTCATATGGAAGATCATCTTATTTATATTATTTTAATGATAGAATTAATTGTTTAATTATGAATACTTTTTTTTTATTTAGTTGGTTGTCCACTCATCACCATGAATATATATAAAGAAAAAATAAGGAAAATTATGAGCAGGGCTTTACCCAGCAATTAAAAGATTTTCTTTAAAAAAAAAAATTGGGTTCTCCTAAGGTGACAGAGTTAGTACAGAATGACATGAAAGTGTCCTCGTGTCTTCAAAGAGATTCGTTTGGAAGCCAACTTGGAAAAAATAAGGTTTGAAAGAGAAGCAGAGGAGCTTTAGGAAACACAAACACAGACCAAAAGGATGAAAAGTTGGACGCGCTCACTCTTTTTAAAAGAGCAGCGTGTCTTCACACGCCACACGAGACCAAAGACAAGACAACGACATGCTACCTCTGTACTGGACTTTCATGTGTCAAGCACCGTAGGGCCACCGCTCCCCGCCCACGCCCCTTCTCAGCAATTGACTACACCTCCACATTTCTTACTATTTCAGAATTTTCTCGATTGGAATTTTTATTTTTATTTTTATTTTGGTACTATAAATTCATACAATTTCCATCACCGGTTTAATTACTTTCTATATTTCTCAAACTATGTAATAATTCTTAACTCATTTTTATTTAATATGGAATGACAAAATTTTCTCCACCCACTTTTATATTTGATATAGACTAACATCACTTTTCAAATTATTATTTTTATTTGACGTTTGATTGCATTCTTTTTTTGTTTTAAGGTGAATTAATATAACGAGTACTAATTTGGAGAATTCATACCATGGATAAAAATATAAACTTTATATGAAACTTTTTGTCATAATTTAGATATTTTCAAACTATCTAAAAATTAATCTACAAGATCATACATAAGTATGTTATTAAGAATAATATGATAAATATAAAGCATATATAGATTAATAAAAAAAAATCAAGTTATTATAACATAAATTTTTAAAAGATTTCATAACCGATAGTTCATGTCTTCATGATAAACCAATAGTTTCAATTTAAAATTGTATAATTGATATTAAAAAAAAATTAATTTTAATTTCTCATCTAAATTCATCTAATTATATAGAACTATTATTAAATTAATGTGATATTAAAATATGATATATTATTAGTTATTTTTAGTTTTACCTAACATTTCACACGCTCTACGCAGTGCGAGTGGAATAAAACAAGGTTGGAATGACCAAAACCATAGGTAGTAGATAGAGAGACAAAAAAAGACAGAAAATGAGAGGAAACAAAAGAAGAGGCTGCTACTGTGATAGTTGATAATACGAAACAAAACAAAACACAACCAAACAAAGAAAGGAAGAATAATAAAGTTCTCTTTTTTACCTACACTCCATTCAAAAGTTTCGAAACCCCTTTCTTTCTTTTTTCTATCTCTCTGTTTGTCTGTCGTCTGTCTCTGTGTACTTTGAAATCAACAGTTGCCTAGATACATACATAGATAGTGTTTAGATCCGTCTCTTTGTAAAAGAGTTTTTGTTTTTCCTTTAATACAGCACGCTTCTTACTCCTTACTTCACGGGGTCCATCAAGATTTCATCTGGGTCATCCTTGTTTTTTTCTCCTGTGCCTTCTTTTTCTTGATACATATATCAGTTTTATCATACTCTCAAGCTTTTTGTTTTGTTTTGTTTTTGTTTTTGTTTTCCTTAAATAAAGATAGGGCTTTTGTTTTGTTTTCTTTCGTTTCCTTTTTCGTATTTGATATATTGAGAGATGCAATCGGATAGGTCCGGTTCTGTTTTATCGATAACTCAGAGAAGTCAGTCTTTGGCAGCTAGTGATACTCGAGGCAAGCACAGAATACAAGCTGAACTTAAACGCCTTGAGCAAGAAGCTAGATTCTTAGAGGTTAGTTCTTATATACTGTTTCATTCTTATTGTTTTTTTATTTTGCTTATAAAAGAGAGAAATGGGAATCTTGTAATGGATAATTGTATGGCACTAACCTGTGCATTGTTTATGATCGGAGGGTAAAATGGTTAAATCTTTTTTTATTTGGATTTCATAGTTGAAGTTACAATTCAGTGGTTAACAGAATTGGTGTGTTTAATTTGTGGAAATGAATGCAGAGGTAGTTTATTATCTACTGGTTTTCAATTTTCATTGATTTAAAAAAACAGTACTGAGCTAGGCAAATTGGTTACTGCTTAGTTTATTGCTGAGGTTATACTTGTTTGGTGGATCGGTTGTTTTGGTTTATTGATATCCTGTATTCGCATGAGAATACAGGATTCTTATGTGGACCTTGGCTGTAGGTATTGTTCATGCAATATTGTGTGGCCCAGTGACATTTTTTTTATTAGGCCTAGAAAGTAAGGATTGTTTCATTTATGCGACTTTAAGTCTTTCCAGAAGTGAATTTTTAATGCTTAAATTTCTTGATTGTGACAAGTTTTATTTGAAATTTATGTAAAATCACTTCTGGTTAGGTTTGTTCCGTAGTATTCAAGTAAACAATAAAGCAAGTATCTTATTTCTCTGGTGACTCTTTACCCAATATGAGGAAGCTCAGTTGGCTTTGCTATAGGAATAGTGGAATACTATAGAAGGTAGTCTTGGCAAACAGCTGGTAATTTTTAATTTATGATAATTTACAAGGGCATCCTTCTTTCAGTTAGAATCAATTTCTTTAACATGCCCAAATTTATAATTGAAGTACACCTTTTTCCCCCTAGAATCGAGCAATGAATTTTATGAGCTTGCAGTTTGGTTGTTAACTCTCACATTGTATTATTGCAGTGCTTGCCCATAAATTTTGGTCTTCTTGAATCTGGGTCTGGCTTATTTTCAGTTTTCATAGGATTCTTCATTTTTCATGCCCTTTTGTGACAATCATATTATGTATATGCTCAACATGTATTTGTCTCCAAGGATTAGGGAAAACTACTGCAGGCCGGAGTTTAGAAAAAACAATTATGATTCTTTTCTCATGGACTTTTTGTTTTTACTAAAAATAGAAAAGATTATATCTGGTGCACATGTGAAGCCAACTGTCTTTCACTATAAAACCCGTCTGCTTAACATTGAATATGTTTGAGTTTTCTCTGGAAGAGTTAATTTTTATTTTGAGGTCAGAATTAAGTTATTAATGTGTATAATTGTTTAATAAGATATTGTTTCATTTTACTAAGAAAACTAATGAGTAAAGCAATCAGTAGACTAGATATCCACAAAGAGATAAAAGGTAACAATTCTATCTTCGAAGAGGTCACAAATAAGTGATTATTAGAATTGAGCAAGAATGGTATGGGCTTCCTGGCTGTGAGTATTGGGAGAGCATAGTGTGGCATAAGATCAGTAAAATGAAAAGTTATCAAATGTCTTTTGTAGATTTATTGTTTTCGGAAAGAAGGAAAAGTTGTATATAGACAGGAATGTGTAACTTCATTGGCTGAGGAATTTCAAAATTTTGGAAGCATAATTTCAGGGATGTGGTAAAACCCTCCGCACCCCAACAGGGCATCACCAGCATGGAAAATTAGAGTTCTCTTCTATGTACTCTTGTTTGTGCAGGCATTATGTAGATATTTTTGTGCACCAAGTAGATCAACCTGAAGTGTACTCTCATCCACATTCATCTTTCCAGTTATAAACAAAAATCAGAACAGTATTTTATATCTATATGAACGAATAATTTGGGATAAGGGAAATCTTCTCCTTTCTTTTCTAATCTCATCCATTTCTTTTTCCAGACAGTTTCCACTGATCGGTTATCCCATCTTTTACAAGACTATATTCTGTCAACTAGGGTAGTGTTTAGCCATAGAGGTTCTCCTGTAAAATTTATATAGGTATTGGGGTTCAGCAAAAGATCTTCCTACACTTGAATTTTCATGTACTCTTGAGACAGTTGCTCTCTGCCTTAGATGGTATATCTTCATGGTTGAGAGCATTTGAGGATTCTACTCAATCTTCTGTTGACAGAAGGGGGTTTAGGTTACCATATCGCCATGGAGAAAAATATTAGAGGCTCTGGACTCAGTTTCTTTCCAGGGAAGGTGGGCAAGTCACCTCATTGAGAAAAGGAGGCTTCTGTTTCATGTAGCCCTCAGAATTCAAAACACATGGATCAATGAGACTGGCTGACTATTAAAGTTACGTTGGAAGTGAATGGGCACCAAAACTTCTGAAATTTAATGTTTTTCTAAGAACAGGTTTGATATCATTGCTACTGAAAACCAAGGGGTTGCTCTGGTTTTTCAGAAAACATTGAAAATCAGTATTTTCATGTTTAGGGGGCATACTTTGCATTCAACTTCTTTGAGTGACATAGAATCCAGAGAAGGAATCAAAATAACTGTTGCTTTCCATGTTTGAGAGAACCCTGTTTCCACCTGAAAGTCATATTGCCATTTCTCGTTTGGCTATCATATTATGTGTTCTTCAGTGATGCAATTTCAATTGCTATACATAGATCCTCCTTGAATAGTTGTCAGTTCCTTTACCTCCTATGTTGTAGGCAATTTGAGAGGTTTAAGGCAGACTAGATGATTGAGTTTTTGTCTGTGAAGAGAACTATTTGTGGTTATCACCGTAAGAAAGTGGTGTGCCAGGCAGAACAAAAATCTGTAGGAATTTTTCAGAGACATTGAATGATTTCTATTTGGTCTTCAGTAATTAATTTCATGAGTTTTACGTTCGTTATACTATAATGCTAACATATCAGAAGCAAAGCAAGTCTGTCACCTTATTAACTGATATTATGCTCTGTTTTAAAATAACTAGATGAAGTAGCAAAGTAATTTTAATCGACACTATGATGCAGGAAGAGCTGGAAGAACTTGACAGAATGGAGAAGGCCTCAATGGCATGCAAGGAGTAAGTATGATAATAAAATCATTTTTATTGGATGATTCAATTGTTGTTCAAGAACTTTTTAGATTACTATCAATCTGCAAGCTAATTTTTGTTTTTTATGTGCCAGAATGCTGTGTAATGTGGAAGCTAGACCAGATCCTCTACTTCCAGTGTAATATAAAATATAAAATTCATTCCTTTATTATTATTATTATTATGTTTTTGTCATCTTTTAACTAATTTTGACAATTTCTGAGATTCCTATTTATCCTGGCTTGACAGAACAACTGGTCCTTTAAATCCATTATGGGATCGGTGGTTTGAAGGACCTCAGGAGTCAAAAGGTTGCAGATGCTGGATTCTCTGATGATTTCGCACCCTTTTTATCATACACCTGATTTCAAGCAATTACTTCCTTTATCATTCATACATCGAGGCTTCAGATTACATGTTACAGTTGCAAATCTATACTTTCTGTCATTGATAAATGTTTAATTAAAAGCTTCATTGTGCAGAGGGTTACAATTTTTTGAAGCTTATTCTGCATCGGCACTTGTCAATGTAATGCTTCATAGTTCATTGTGTAGATGATGGCTATTCTATAGCATCTCTCTTTCTGAACAACATAATTTTTTCAGGCAAATCAAAATGAAGAAGAGAATGTACAAATTTTTCAACAAAGGGTAACTCGTACAGTAAGTTTACAAAAATATGCATCTCTTTACACATCATTAAAGCCTGAGATGCAAAGTAATGAGATGCTTCAATGTGTACTGTGTAGAACATGACAAATTTTCAATATCCAATCAAAATGTGAAAACAATCTGCAAATTTATCAGGAAAGGCTGTTACAGAGTTACATGGTACAGAAAACATGCTTCTTACTCATCCTTGAACCCCCGCATATGTGAATGATGAACCTTCTCCTTGGTTAATTTCTTCCCCTTTTCAACTTGGGGATTTTCCGGTAACCCGCTGGCTAATCCACTCTAGACCATCATACAACCCATCTCCAGTAAGTGCACTGCAGGCTTGGATGTGCCAATCATGATTCTTGATGCTGTGAAGAGAAAGAGCATCGGTGATTTCAGCTGGGGTCATGGCATCCTTGAGGTCTTGTTTATTTGCAAAGATAAGGACAACTGAATGTTGTAACTCGTCATGCCCAAGAAGCCTGAAGAGTTCATCCTTCATAATGGAAATCCTGGCTCTATCAGTGCTGTCTATAACCACAACCACAGCATGAGTACCACGATAATAAGTCGCCCATGATGTTCTTAGCCTTTCTTGTCCACCAACATCCCAGGCCTGACACAAACAACATTGGTAAATAAGCATGCGTAGGCACCAAGTTTTATACAAACTACATTGGACATAGTAGAAAGGGTAAAGATTACAATGAAATATGAAGGAAATAACAAACCTATCTACCCTAATACAAACTTTATCAAAACAAGACCCACAAATTTGACCAATAAAAAACTTTAAAAGTGTTACTTCTAAGCCTTAGATTCTTCCCTCTGATATAAAATAGTTGGTACCATATTAAATCCATTAATCAGCCAAATTAATATTATTGTCCTGCAATTAATATTGTAAGGCATACTACAAAAAATGTTGCTTTTGTAAATACAGATTACTTGAAAAACAAAATTTTCTCATTATTAGCAAACCACCTGGTGGTTTATATATGTATTTAATTGGATAGGAGAATTTACTAGTTCTATTAAGGCAGCAATGACATGCATAAAATTCCGTTCCATGTTCAGCTCATCATCATCTGTGTAAAAGAGACCCAAGCACTCAAACAACATCAGAACAGTGTCCCCAGTTTACAACTAAAAGTTCTTTCAACCATCTAGAACTCCTCGACCCACCCCACCTTTCTGGGGAGTAAGTATAAAACCAACAGAAACAAGGACAGTTAGCACTAAATCAACAGTATGTTTAAATATGCCATACACTATACTTGATCTTGGTAAACATATTCACTATGGAACAAATTAAACAAAAATACACACTCCATCACTTTGAAAAATGTGGCAGATTATATTAGCCACTTTGTCACAGCTTATTGAAACCTTTACCAAATCTAAATAACAATATGGATTCTCAGCGATACTTCTTGTTACATGATACAATTGCATTTTTAGGTGGGCCTGGCACAGCATTCTTAATAGCTAGATATCATGAAGAGCAAATATTCTCCTTCAGTGAAAGAAATCAACAATCTATGGAACAAAGGCATGTAAGGCTAAATTACCTATGCTAGTTAACTCCATAAACTCCATGGGGTTGGGTAGAGATAAAAGCCCTTGATTTCATTTAAGAGGTAAAGGGTTCAAATCCCTTCGGGGCCATCTACTTGAGATATTACATCGCATTGAAAATAGCACTCAATTTAGAACTTGGTGAACATGAAGTGAAGGTCAAGGGATTTCTAGGTATCAAAAAATAGAAAAATAAAATAAAATAAATAAAAAATAACTGCATCACAATCATTCAAGTCTTTCTTTTCACTAACATTTAAACCCCAACCTTCTGAGTGAGATAAGATTTATATAGCAATGCCATACATGTCATACATGGCAGACCTTTCAAACATTTGGCACTTCAAATACTTTTCAGCTTTGTTAACTAATCAATCTAAATAACGGCAATTTAAAAAATCTCACATCGGAAACAATGCAACAGAAGGAGACAAGAACCTGAGAAACAATGAGGTTGGACAAATTGAGACAAATGTTGACACTGGTTCATTTCATTTTGAGATGCACGTCTAACAATGAATATTTTCAAAAAATCAAAACAGGGAAGCTTGAAGTCGTTTACAACAAAGCATAATTCCGGAGGAATAAGAATTTCGCAAAATTCCAGTATGAAATCTTAAAAATATATCCAAAATTTCAAGAAGGCAGCCTAATGTATCGACTTCTTTAACCTATTAGATGTTAATCCTCCTCCTCAGTTTACTACCATATTAATCCTCCTCCTCAGTTTACTACCATATCAATCTGCATCCAAAATTTCCCTTCTCTTAACAATCTTGTAAATAAATTTATGCAGTCCCCAGCAAAGGAGTTCTAAATATAGCATCTTAAAAAGGGCATTAGCATCCAGACTTTATCTGCCTACCCTAACCCAAAACTAGAGTATAAATCACAATAAATGATGAGAAACCTTAGTATAGAGCAACTCTGATAATCTCAACTAATTGAAACAATTAGGGCAAACCCAAACTTAGCTTGAGGGACCATTTGAACAATCAAGGAACTAACTGAATGTTCTCAAACCAACAAGCATAATGAAAAAGACAAATTCCAATTCACGTATTCCACCTTTTGTCCTTTAACAATATATATAGACCCACGCAATTCACACAAAGAGGATCAACCATAATGCACTTCTTTCCTTTTATTTATACGCAAATAATAAGTTGGAAATTTCTGAACTCTAAACTTATCATGAAGCCCAAAAAACAAGTTTACACCCATATTAACAAATTACTTCATCCCAACTTATTATAAATTGAATAAGAAAATTAAAAAGAACGTAAAAAAAAATAAAAAAAAATGAAGCTTTGCTGTCATAAACGCACCTCAAATCGAATGTTCTTATAAACAAGCTCCTCAACGTTGCTACCAACGGTAGGGTGGGTGGTTACAACATCACCTAAGTGCAACTTGTAAAGCGTCGTCGTTTTCCCGGCATTATCCAACCCTACAATCACAATCTTGTAATCCTTTCCCGGAAAAAACATGAACCAAAACTTGGATAATAGCGCTCCCATGATTTCCCCTTTCAATACCTGAAAAATCAAATTATTTGAACACTGAATTACAAAAATTAAACTATTGAATAATAATTTTCTTGCGGAACTCGTAGTAATAAAACGAAATCGATTTGAAGAAGGATCTAAATGAGATGATTGGCGAATGAATATATACAAACGGAGGGTTGCGATGGAACCTGGACAGAGAGATTTTGGGACGATGAAATGGACGGCGGTGATAGATTGGAGGAGATTGAAACGTGATTGAGAGAATTGCGATAAAGATCTATTTGTTTTGCAAATGATAAAAGTGTTGGGAATAATTTATAATTTTATATATATTTATAATTTACGACATCGAACCGTTGAAGGAGAAGAAATCCAAGAGAAAGTGAACTTCGTTTGTGTTTGGGCCACCCGGGTGGGTTACGTGTCAGTGGACCAGTTTATTTATTTATTTATTTATCGGGTAATACGAAGCCCATCAATATTTTATTAATTTTTTCTTCCAAATACAATGTAATAATTTATAATAGATTTCATCTATCCAACAATAAGTTTGATTAATCAATTATAAACTGTCGGCTTTATGTGAGAAAATTAATAAGAAGAATTTATTAGTCTATCTTTATTATTATTTATTTATTTAATTTTAACAGCAATTCAAGATTCATAATAGGAGGATATTGTAGAGAATTCTTTAATGTTTCCAAATTTATCCCAAAAATTTATAATCAGGATAATAATTCACTTTTTATCAAATAGATCTCAAAGTTTGAAAATTATATCATAAATACCCCTTTGTTCTAACTCCAATATACTACCGTTTGTGATAAATAGGAAAAATGATAACTTTGATCTTATAATAATGGGTAGGGGTAAAATGGTTACTTTATTCTATAATAAAGCGTTTTGTAAACCAAACCGACCATGCAATGCAACAAGATTTGGTCAAAGGGGTTTATGTGACAAAGTGTTGAAACTTGGAGGGTTCGTGTCACTTGATAAGGTAAAGGGGTATCATGATATTTGTCAAACTTTGAGGATCCACGAAAAAGCTGTGAAAGTTATCATCCTAGTATAAATTTGAAAACTTTAAGGTAGTCTATGATGTTCTCCTACTGATAATATTCGCCATAAAAAAATGCTTCATATAAAACATAAATGAAATTTAATTTATAATATTCAACATAATTTTTGTAAGTATCACCGTCGATCTCATCTTTAAGAGATTTTTTTTTTTCATTTATAGTTTTTTAAATCTATAATTAATTTACACTGAAAATAGTTTTGTGAAAAAAAAGTTTTACATGACTGAAAATCCATTCCTAATAAATATTTAATAATTTAGTGTCTCTTATTATGTTTCCTTTTGTCTAATAAAAAATATTGTTATCTGTTAAGTTTGGATTTTAAGTTCAAATGGGTTTATTATATTGAACAAGATTGGAGTGTTTTCTTTAATTTTTTAATAATAATGTGACATTTTTGTTTAATTTTTTAATGAAACCATCACATTATTATTAGATTAATAACGTTCCACGTATGAGTCATATTAATATAAAGAGTGAAACTTATAAAATAAAATTTAATTCTCCTACGATAAGAAGAAACAAAAAAAAAATATATTTTTTTTATTTATTGTCGATATAGGCAGTATAGTAGATCCCTTTATTTTTGTTTTCTTGGTTTTTAAACGGTATTTAAATCTTTATAAATACTTATTTTGTAATATATCTTGGTGAAAATTATTTTTTTTATTTTTTATGAGATGGTTTAGTAGTCAAATTATATGCTTTAAATGTCCCGTATCAAGTGATTTTTGTCATTTTGTAAAATAATTGTTTGATATTTTTAAATGGAATTTTAATAATTATAATGATATTTTTAATGATTTTTGAACGAAACAGATGGATTAATTCTAAAGTATCTACAAAATCACTTATAAAATATGTTTTTAGTGTAACAATACTTTTGTTTAGTTGAATATCATAAAATCAATATAAAAAGCCTTTGACGCATAAAAGTAATTCAAATTACTAAAAATTTCCATACTCAAATTATTGAAGGACTCTAAAAGATTAGCCTTAATTAAATAGTGTAAATTTTATGATTATATTGCACCAATATTAAGATTCTACTTTATTATTATTATTATTATCATTATTATTTCAACAGTTGACGTGATAAATTTGCTGATAAAAGTAGTTGCACTTCCACACACCAAATCATCTTCGATTTTTCCGATGTTTTTTAATTTTATTTATTTGTTTTTATTATATTACACTTTATTTGATATTGTAGAGTTTGATACCACCAAACTATAATTAAGTGCCAAAATTTAATTATTTACGACTAATAAGAGAGATAAAGTCCATGTGTTTTCTCAGTAATAAACTATCTTTGCAAGAAAATATATTTATTCATTTATACGCAAATAATAAGTTGGAAATTTCTGAACTCTAAACTTATCATGAAGCCCAAAAAACAAGTTTACACCCATATTAACAAATTATTTCATCCCAACTTATTATAAATTGAATAAGAAAATTAAAAAGAATGTAAAAAAATAAAAATAAATAAATAAATAAAAAATGAAGCTTTGATGTCATAAACGCACCTCAAATCGAATGTTCTTATAAACGAGCTCCTCAACGTTGCTACCAACGGTAGGGTGGGTGGTTACAACATCACCTAAGTGCAACTTGTAAAGCGTCGTCGTTTTCCCGGCATTATCCAACCCTACAATCACTATCTTGTAATCCTTTCCCGGAAAAAACATGAACCAAAACTTGGATAATAGCGCTCCCATGATTTCCCCTTTCAATACCTGAAAAATCAAATTATTTGAACACTGAATTACAAAAATTAAACTATTGAATAATAATTTTCTTGCGGAACTCGTACTAATAAAACGAAATCGATTTGAAGAAGGATCTAAATGAGATGATTGGCGAATGCATATATACAAACGGAGGGTTGTGACGGAACCTGGACAGAGAGATTTTGGGACGATGAAATGGACGGCGGTGATAGATTGGAGGAGATTGAAACGTGATTGAGAGAATTTCGATAAAGATCTATTTATTTTGCAAATGATAAAAGTGTTGGGAATAATTTATAATTTTATACATATTTATAATTTACGACATCGAACTGTTGAAGGAGAAGAAATCCAAGAGAAAGTGAAGTTCGTTTGTGTTTGGGCCAACCTGGTGGGTTACGTGTCAATGGATCAGCTTATTTATTTATTGGGTAATATTAGGCTCACGAACATATTTTATTAACTTTAAACACGACGACGTGATGATTCGTAATTGATTAATTTGTAATAAATCTCACTTATCCAATAATAAATTTTGATAATTAATTATAAACTATCATATCGCGTTTGTGTGAGAAAATTAATAAGAAAAGTTTATCGATCTATCTTTATTGTTATTTATTCATTTAATTTTAACAGCCATTCAAGATTCATAATAAGAGGATATTGTAGATAATTATTTGATGTTTCCAAATTTATCCCAAAAATTTATAATTAGGATAATAATTCACTTTTTATCAAATAGATCTCAAAGTTTGAAAATTATATCATAAATACCCCTTTGTTCTTACTCCAATATACTCCCGTTTGTGATAAATAGGAAAAATGATAACTTTGATATTATAATAATGGGTAGGGGTAAAATGGTTACTTTACTTCTATAATAAAGCGTTTTGTAAACCTAACCGACCATGCACCAAAGTTAGGTCAAAGGGGTTTATGTGATAAAGTGTTGAAACTTGGAGGGTTCATTTGAGAGGGTAAAGGGGTATCAATGTATATTTTTCAAACTTTGACGATCCAATAAGATGTGTGAAAGTTATCATCCTAGTATACATTTGAAAACTTTAAGGTAGTCTAATGTTCTTTTACTGATAATATTCGACATAAAAAAATGCTTCATATAAAACATAAATGAAATTTAATTTATAATATTCAACATAATTTTTATAAGTATCACCGTCGAACTCATCTTTAAGAGATTTTTTTTTTTTTCATTTATAGTTTTTTAAATCTATAATTAATTTACACTGAAAATAGTTTTGTGAAAAAAAAGTTTTACATGACTGAAAATCCATTCCTAATAAATATTTAATAATTCAGTGTCTCTTATTATGTTTCCTTTTGTCTAATTAAAAATATTGTTATCTATTAAGTTTGGATTTTAAGTTCAAATGGGTTTATTATATTGAACAAGATTGGAGTGTTTTCTTTAATTTTTTAATAATACTATGACATTTTTGTTTAATTTTTTAATGAAACTATCACATTATTATTAGATTAATAACGTTCCACGTATGAGTCATATTAATATAAAGAGTGAAACTTGTAAAATAAAATTTAATTATCCTACGACAAGAAGAAACAAAAAAACAAAAAAAAAAAAAATTATTGTTGATATAGGCAGTATAGTAGATCCCTTTATTTTTGTTTTCTTGGTTTTTAAACGGTCTTTAAATCTTTATAAATACTTCTTTTTTAATATATCTTGGTGAAAATTATTTTTTTTATTTTTTGTGAGATGGTTTAGTAGTCAAATTATATGCTTTAAATGTCCCGTATCAAGTGATTATTGTAATTTTGTAAAAAAATTGTTTGATATTTTTAAATGGAATTTTAATAATTATAATGATATTTTTAATGATTTTTGAACCAAACAGATGGATTAATTCTAAAGTATCTACAAAATCACTTATAAAATATGTTTTTAGTGTAACAATACTTTTGTTCAGTTGAATATCATAAAATCAATATAAAAAGCCTTTGACGCTTAAAAGTAATTCAAATTACTAAAAATTTCCATGTTCAAATTATTGAAGGACTCTAAAAGATTAGCCTTAATTAAATAGTGTAAATTTTATGATTATATTGCACCAATATTAAGATTCTACTTTATTATTATTATTATTATCATTATTATTTCAACAGTTGACGTGATAAATTTGCTGATAAAAGTAGTTGCACTTCCACACACCAAATTATCTTCGATTTTTCCCATGTTTTTTAATTTTATTTATTTGTTTTTATTATATTACACTTTATTTGATATTGTAGAGTTTGATACCACAAAACTGTAATTAAGTGCCAAATTTTGATTATTTACGACTAATAAGAGGGATAAAGTCCATGTGTTTTCTCAGTAATAAACTATCTTTGCAAGAAAATATATTTATATATATGATTAGAAGTACTATAAACTTCATAGTAGAATATTAAATATTAAAAATTAAAACAAAAATAATATTAATATGATTTTTTTTATCACTAGAGGTATATCCGAGGATTCAGAATCGTTGGTCAGGTAAAAACCCTAATGATCATCCTTATTAGAACCTTAAGGGACTTAAATTTAAAAGTTTATAAAACTTTTTTTTACTTTTTGACCGTAGTGGTTTATTAATATAAATTTTATCATTCTTTAAACATGTGTTGATAAATTATTTTAAAATTTAAATTATCACAATCAGAACTATATATTAGGAGGAGTTATGATAATGGAGAAAAATATATCATTTACTAAAAATGACTGAATCACTCAATTAGTATTGTTAGATGATTGTGATAATACCAAAAACTGTTTTAAAAAAAAAAAATGGGGCTAAAGATCTACTTAAAACTATTGTTAGATTCTATTTGCTACTAAGCATATTCCAAAAAAAGGAAAAAACAAAAAATCTTTTGCCTAGTAAATATGAAACACCAATCCCACATGCACCGACTTCATCCACGTCAAATTCCACATCAGCCCAACTAAAAACCAAGCCACCAATCAAATGGCTTCAAAATGAATACCGCTATCCCTTTAAGTCATATTCCTGATTCTAACTAATAATCACAAAACACGTAATCAAAATACAATAAAACCGACTGCATAATATAATAATTCTCCCTTCCCTTAAATGAGCCGTTGAGGAACTAACAAGTCTGTCGTTCACTGCTCACTTTGTCTTGGCGACATCTTCGAAGTTCAACAAAACAAAACAGTTGTTTACCTCCTTCGTTATCTCCGCCTCTGCCGTCAAATCCTATAAAATTATTCATATCTTCTTCATTTCTCGCTTCTTCATACCCTAACCGGTAAAAATTTCCGTCACCTCTCGCCATGTCGCAATCTCTTCAACTTTTCACTCCCTCCTCCAACATTACCCTCCTTAAACCCAACTACAATCACGCTATTTTAACCGCCTCCTCCCGTCGCTTACAAGTCACCACCACCACCACCACCACTAAACAACTCTCTGTTGCAATTAGAGCGTCAGCGTCATCGTCTTCGGATCCGAAGGTTTTACTAACTCACAATGGAACGCCCGAGGCTGGGCCACACGTGGCGAAATCACAACTGATTTCTTCTGATTCCTCATCGATCGATGTGGATGCTGTGACGGAAGTGGAGTTGAAGGAGAACGGTTTCAGGAGCACAAGGCGGACGAAACTGGTGTGCACGATCGGGCCGGCCTCCTGCGGGTCTGAGCAGCTGGAGACCTTGGCGGGTGGGGGGATGAACGTGGCGAGAATCAACATGTGCCACGGCACGCGCGAGTGGCACAAGCAAGTGATCGAACGCGTTAGGAGGTTGAATGAAGAGAAAGGTTATGCCGTGGCGATTATGATGGACACTGAAGGTAGTGAGATTCACATGGGTGATCTTGGCGGCGCTCCTTCCGCTAAAGCTGAGGTAATTCTATTTGGTTCGAAACGTCATCGTTTACGTATACATACTAGTATTTATTACCATGAATGAGTGTGAGCTTGAAAAAGGATCGAGGCAAACTGTAGTTTGACTTGAATTGACTAGATTAGATTTTGAGCCAGTTTAAACTTAAATTCAGAGCCTAAACAAATAATTAAACTGTTTACGTATTTAATATAATAATTGAAGTCGTGCATTTTTATGGAGCAACTAGGAAGGGTTATTCAAGTGTTTAGGCTTGTGAAATTCTCTTTGGAGATATTGGGTTTGAACTCTGAGTTCACTATATAGGTTTGAGGGATTTAGGATTAGTGAAAAGAAATAAAATATTAATGAAGTTCAATTCATGTTCAAGCTCATTGCAAGCTCAAACAATGTGATACAAGCTTGGTTTGGTTGGTCACAGTTTATGGGGCTTGTTACTTATGGCCGTTGGCATATTTTAATCTGCAGGATGGCGAGATCTGGACTTTTAGTGTTAGAGCTTTTGATGCACCTCGCCCTGAACGCACTATTAATGTCAATTATGACGGGTTTGCTGAGGGTAATTATTCTTGGGTTCAAACTGTGTTACCATTTTGTCTTTTTAAAATTATTTCTGTTCTGTTTCAATTATATTATGTGGTTGTTTATGTTGATTGTTCAATTAAGTTACAACAAAGTTGAATGGGATACAGATGTGAGGGTTGGGGATGAACTACTTGTGGATGGTGGAATGGTGAGGTTTGATGTGATCGAGAAGATTGGTCCAGATGTCAAATGCCGTTGCACCGATCCTGGACTGATGCTACCACGAGCTAATTTAACATTCTGGAGGGATGGGAGTCTTGTGCGAGAGCGTAATGCAATGCTTCCCACAATTTCTTCTAAGGTTGGATGATTTTTCTGTGCTTGAGAATTTTTTTTTCATCTGTGCAAATATTTGTGATACTTAACTAACTGGAAAGTTTAAAGATCTGAGATGCCTTTGACATCCCAAAGCTCTGAGTTGCATCGTAAGGAACTTGATATGTGAAAGCTTAAAGTGGCTAACAACGCCCACTGTTGAACATGATATATATCTTTTTGTACTTATGAAGAAACCTTATTCAGCCTCCAAATCTAATTTATCATGCTTAAACTTCTTTTATAGGTGACATATTTTCTTGGGATGAAAGATGGTCTGAGATTTGGTCATTCCTGTTAGCTTATAGAAATCATTTTAACTTTAAGGAGTTCATAGCAGAGCTAAAATTTTATAGTTAGACTTTTTCATGGTTTAATCTCTTCAAGGAGAAAATGTGAAACTGAGTTAGCCGTGGGAGTTTAATTTGCATCAAACTCTACTTATCTATAATATTCCAAATGAATAGCTAAAATAGAAATGTAAAGAAATTCTTTAAGTGTTTGCTTTGTATCTGCACGTGTGTTAATACACATTCTCTTTGCATGTATGTTGATGTTCAGCATGTCTGGTGAAGTAATCTTCACTAAATTAAAGATGTTCTGTATGATCTCATGATCAGGCTTCTTTATTCCACAGGATTGGTTGGACATTGATTTTGGAATTGCTGAGGGTGTTGACTTCATTGCCATTTCATTTGTCAAGTCAGCTGAAGTGATTAATCATCTTAAGAGCTATGTTGCTGCCCGATCTCGTGATAGGTACTAATTTTTAAATACACTTACAATATAGCTTCTGAACAATTACCATAAGGTCTTCTTCTAAGATGCATCTCTTCTGTCTCTGGTATGAAGTATAAAAAGGCTGATATAATNCTTGTGGATGGTGGAATGGTGAGGTTTGATGTGATCGAGAAGATTGGTCCAGATGTCAAATGCCGTTGCACCGATCCTGGACTGATGCTACCACGAGCTAATTTAACATTCTGGAGGGATGGGAGTCTTGTGCGAGAGCGTAATGCAATGCTTCCCACAATTTCTTCTAAGGTTGGATGATTTTTCTGTGCTTGAGATTTTTCTCCTAGAATTTTTTTTTTTCATCTGTGCAAATATTTGTGATACTTAACTAACTAGAAAGTTTAAAGATCTGAGATGCCTTTGACATCCCAAAGCTCTGAGTTGCATCGTAAGGAACTTGATATGTGAAAGCTTAAAGTGGCTAACAACGCCCACTGTTGAACATGATATATATCTTTTTGTACTTATGAAGAAACCTTATTCAGCCTCCAAATCTAATTTATCATGCTTAAACTTCTTTTATAGGTGACATATTTTCTTGGGATGAAAGATGGTCTGAGATTTGGTCATTCCTGTTAGCTTATAGAAATCATTTTAACTTTAAGGAGTTCATAGCAGAGCTAAAATTTTATAGTTAGACTTTTTCATGGTTTAATCTCTTCAAGGAGAAAATGTGAAACTGAGTTAGCCGTGGGAGTTTAATTTGCATCAAACTCTACTTATCTATAATATTCCAAATGAATAGCTAAAATAGAAATGTAAAGAAATTCTTTAAGTGTTTGCTTTGTATCTGCACGTGTGTTAATACACATTCTCTTTGCATGTATGTTGATGTTCAGCATGTCTGGTGAAGTAATCTTCACTAAATTAGAGATTTTCTGTATGATCTCATGATCAGGCTTCTTTATTCCACAGGATTGGTTGGACATTGATTTTGGAATTGCTGAGGGTGTTGACTTCATTGCCATTTCATTTGTCAAGTCAGCTGAAGTGATTAATCATCTTAAGAGCTATATTGCTGCCCGATCTCGTGATAGGTACTAATTTTTAAATACACTTACAATATAGCTTCTGAACAATTACCATAAGGTCTTCTTCTAAGATGCATCTCTTCTGTCTCTGGTATGAAGTATAAAAAGGCTGATATAATGATATTACTTTCTGCACTCTAAGTTTGAGTGACTCAAATTGATTTTATTTTACTTTTTTTATTGTGTGTTTTTAACCATGGCTCTGCTGTGATTTCCAAAATTTCCAGAATGGTTATGTGCTATATGTGTCAGTATTTATGGCTGATAGAATTTCAATGCTATGATGCAGTGATATTGCTGTAATTGCAAAGATTGAGAGTATTGATTCACTGAAGAACTTGGAAGAGATCATTCAAGCATCTGATGGAGCTATGGTTGCAAGAGGAGATCTGGGTGCCCAGATACCATTGGAACAGGTTCCATCGGCACAGCAAAGGATTGTTCAGGTGTGCAGGCAGCTGAATAAGCCAGTTATTGTTGCCTCTCAGTTACTTGAATCTATGATTGAGTACCCAACACCAACCAGAGCTGAAGTAGCTGATGTTTCTGAAGCAGTTCGGCAGAGGGCAGATGCTCTGATGCTCTCTGGTGAGTCAGCTATGGGCCAGTTCCCAGATAAGGCGTTGACTGTTCTTAGAAGTGTCAGTCTCAGAATTGAGAAGTGGTGGAGGGAAGAGAAACGTCATGAAGCTATGGAACTCCCAGATATTGGATCCTCATTTGCAGACAGTATTTCAGAAGAAATTTGTATTTCTGCTGCCAAGATGGGTAAGTACAACTTAGTTTTGCATTTGTTGCTCAATTCAGTAAGTTTTTTCCCATCTTTTTGCATGGTAACGTGTTATTAGAGCAGTTGTGTCAGCCCTGTCGGGGGTTTTCTGCTTAAGGAAATTTTTTAAGAGTCCATATTCTTGTATTTGTTACCAGAAACATTTTTGTTGTCATACATTGATTGTGTGTTTCTTCATGTGGTTTTTTTTTTTTTTTTTTTTAATTTATTTATATGTATATTTACAGCCAATAATCTGGAGGTAGATGCAATTTTTGTATACACAAAGACAGGCCACATGGCATCTCTTTTGTCACGTTGCCGACCCGACTGCCCGATCTTTGCATTTACAACCACAACATCTGTGCGAAGGCGCCTGAACCTACAATGGGGTTTGATACCATTCCGCTTGAGCTTCTCTGATGATATGGAATACAACCTGAATAAAACTTTCTCTTTGCTCAAGGCCAGGGGTATGATCAAATCAGGTGATCTTGTCATTGCGGTTTCAGACATGTTGCAGTCAATCCAAGTTATGAATGTTCCTTAAATCTAACTTCTATTGAGATCGAAAGTGTTCCTTCAATGCTGCTCCTAGATTAGTCAATCAATTTGACTATTGTATCCACTCCTTGTTCAATACCTTGGTTATTGGTTGAGAGAATTATTGCCGTAGAGGCTACACAGCAACTGGATTTGCGGTGAGGTTGTGCAGTCCATTCCATAATTTCTGGAGTTACTTGAGGTAACGAAATCTATATCCTCTTTTTTTTATTTTGATTAGGGTGAGAGTGACATGTGCAAAATGTACCTCATAAAATTACAGCTGTAATTTTTTTTTTTTTTAAATTTTGGTAAGACTGTGGTATTTTTATGTTCACTTAAATTTAGTTTAAATTAATCTGGATGAAAAGTTAGTTTGTCCTACAATACTTGAGAAAATTTAGCTGCCTGTGTCCCAAGTATCTATTTAAGAAATGGCCTTGAAACTGTTCATCAAATTTTTTAATTTAGAGAAATGACGTGGCATAGTTGGATTAATTAAACACGTAAAATGTGTTAAAATGAAAGATTAAACATATGTGGGTCCGAATCAGAAATATAAGTTTTTTAAAATTTGAAATTTCGCAAACAAGCTCCCCTAACTATTCACCTCGTTTAATCAGAATTCATCGTTCAAAAAGCAATTTCTTGAACGAAGGGAGACGCGATTTTTTCCGTCGAAACCAATTGATTTACACCCTAAATCAATTTCTTGAACCTAAACCGAATACAGTCGAATTTTTGGCGATATAGTCACGATTTTCGATCGATTTGTTGAACCCTAAAATCGATTTCCTTAACCGTAAACGAAAATTGTGTCATTTCCAGCGATACAGTCCAGATTTCCGATCGAAACTCACAACTTTGACACCATCAATCCAAACCATGAGTGACACTGACAATAAGGAGGGAAGCCCAACGCCACTTGAATCCTAGATTCCGTTGGCGCAACAGTTCAATGTGCTGCTCCGGTGGATCATCTGACCATGAGGTGGTCCACACGTATAGGAGACGCCGGCGGCATAAGAACAGAGGGAAAAACCAGCAAACGGTCTGAAGACGAGGATCAGACGAGGAGTCAGGCGAGAATTCAGGCCAGGAGGAGGATTCCGGAGAGAATTCAGGCCAGAGGTGGATTCCGGCAGAATTCAGGCCAGGAGGATCCCGAAGGATCCAGGCGACAAGGAGAGGCCGGCGAGATAGGGTACGTAGTTTGGGAATGTTGCTTGTAATTTTGCTTAAGCGATCATTTGTATCGCTTAAGCGTTATTCTGTTTTACTCGTGATCGTAGCCTGATCGCTTAAGCGATAAAAAGATCGCTTAGCGATATGAGTCTGGGCAGATGATTCGCCCAGACCTAAGATCGCTTAAGCGATCATGAGTATTTACTCTTGGTCGCTTAACGATCTTGGTCTGGCAGAATCACAGATTAATAAGCGATCTGTTGTATCGCTTAAGAGATTCTCATTGAACTCTTGGTCGCAATCGCTTAAGCGATCTTTCATGAGGCAGAGTAGATCTCTTAAGCGATCTGAGATCGCTTAAGCGACTACAGTGGTTTTGGTTTATTTTTTTTGATAACATTTATTTTATCGATTGTGCAGATTGTGCGGACCGTAAACTGTAAGGAGTATGATTGGACCTATAAGTGAGAAGGTACCCTACTTCCCTGTAAGGTGAGGTGAGTCGAGCTGGGAGGTTTTTGACAGAAAAGGGCCATTTTAGCTAGAATGAGGCATGGTGAAAGAGATTTGATGGCACTTTTTCGGTCAGTTTTTAAGAATCGGAACAAAGTGGAAAAAGTCATTTTGGGGCAGGGATGCATTACATGTTGATGCACTCAGTAAAATGCAACAAAAAAAATGAAATGTGGTTTCTGGTGAAGGGAAAGCCACTACGGTTTGGTATGATGGAGTATGCGTTGTACGCTTAGGATGCGGGAAGTCCACTAAGGCGAGGCAGACGCAGTAAGGACAGTGCGGAGCCATAAACTTTTGTAAAAGGTTTTGAAAGGGCAAAGTCTATTACAGGAAAGATTTAGAGAAGAGGCCTAATACAGTTCGTTTAGTGATGCGGAGAAGATAAAAGTGTGCTTGATATTGTTTTTACATTCTATCTTATTGGCTGTGACTCAACAAAAGCGGTTGAGAAAGATTGGTTGATGTTTGTAAGCGACTTGAAGTTCTTTAATTCTTCCGTGGAGACGATATCTTTGAGCGAACCATCAAGAGCCTGAAAAAACCAGACATGGGGTTAAAGCATGCCAAATGGGGCGGGAAGCTAAACCAAGCACGTATAATTTGTTTGGCTTCCCATGGGCAATGCAAGTAAATATTAGCTCTCTGTTATATTTTTATAATATGTGTGTTTGATAATACAGGGGACTGTTTTTTTACAATGTAGGCTTGATGTATGAGGCCATCCATCTGTCCTCCTCAGCGAAGGCGGGGGGGAGAGCACAATGTGAGTGGCAACAGCAATTTCCTAGGAGGTCGGTGGCATGTTGAGAGCTGTAACCAGGTGGGATTATGGCCAATTAGAGATTGAGATTCAAGCAGCTGGGGTAAGATTGAAGGTTAAGCTTTTGAATATGCAGTTGCTTTTTTATTTTGCTTCAATCTGATTGATTTTTATTTCTTATTCAGGGTTCATCCATCCCTTTTTGACCGCTGTTGGGATGAAGCGGAAGAGGACTATGTCACATCTTTCAGAGCAATGAGGATAAAGGATGAACAGATACTGCCTGATGCGGGACCTAAAAGGGGTCACGCATGTGATGCATTTGCAGGGCCATTGCTTGACAATGTCGTTGATGCTGAGGATAATGAAGCTCGGGGCCGAGGATGAGGAGAGAGAGGGAGGAAGAGGTTCATATGCCTCAGCAAACCGGTACAACAAGTACCGCTTTGCTGAGCCATCGGCGTAGGAAATGAGGTTGTTGACCTCATAAACGGCCTGTTTGAGAGTTTTACAACAGTCGTTTATGCAGGCTTGAAAGATGGAAGAAACAATGAAATGGTGGAGAAGAAAGTGGATAGGTGGAAGAAGTAGGTACAATGAAGGCGAAGTTGGTACAATGGAGAGAGGAAGTTGGTGGAGAATTAAAGGCGTTGAAGTGCAAACTGGCTTGAAAGAGAGAGCCGAAAGAGCAAGTTTTGAATCACCTTACATGGTAGTGACACAGGTAAAGAAGAAGAAAATGAAGAACAAATGAGGAACACCCAGAAAGGGAGGTTGGTGGTGGAAGTGGGCTGTATAATGGAGGAGGGGAGTTGGGAGGCGAAGAAGCGGGATGTAAAAATGAGGAAGGGAGGAAGTGGGGAAGGGAATTGGACTCAAATTTCGATTTGTATAGGCCAATAGAGGAAAAGAAAAACTCTTTTATGTCTATTACAATGGATCGAAGTGATGGCCATATAAGTGTAAGACAGGGGATTATCCGGGAAGGGTTTCAGAAGTTGTTGACGATGAGGACTGGTGAGGACTCGGTGAGTTATTTTCACTTAATTTTCCTTATTTTTGCCTGTGTTTTCCATACTTATCTTGTTTTTATTTGATGCAGCACATCGATCAGATATTGGCACTGATGAGGCTACATAGACTAGTTGGTGATCTGTTGTATCCCGACTGTGCTATCACCGATGTGGCGTTTGGGCAAACGCTTGTTTCCATATCGGTCTTTAATTAAAAATGCCGTTGCTAATGGTGTACAAAGGACCGAAGCAAAACATTGGCCGCACAACAGTCGACTGCATCCCTGATGATTTCCGTTTAATGACAGGATTATGCAGTACGTAAGGGGGGATCCCCAAATATGGCCACGGTTGGGCCTTTGTTAAAGAGTGTACTGCATCATCCTCGCAAACAGATGCACTGATACAGTCGTTGCGCATCTAGAGGAGGGTGTCTGAAGATCCTTGACTGCAACCCAACCTTGTCGAACAAGCAGTTGGAGGTCGAGTTTGGAGCCACTGTCCAGGTTGTTCCCGCCGCTGTTGAGTGACAGCAGGATTTTTGGGCACTTGGGTGATCAGGTACTAACTGGAAAGTGGCCAATTCAGCGCTCTACCTGCCCAATAAATAGTCAGGTAAATTTGTTAAAACTAACTTACATAACAATTGTTCTATAAGTTTATTATAATGCTAATGTCTTCTTCCTATTGTAGCGCTGAATGTGGGGCATATGCCTGAAATTTATTCAGTTGACTGACCAACAGCCGATGACAGCTTGAATGACGAAACATGAGAGATTGTCGGGAGCGCTGGTGTCGACTGCTTCCATGGGCAGATGGATCCGTTTTAGGTGACCAGAACCCAATCAAATGGTATGAAAGTTGGACTGAATTTTGTAGATTATGTGATGTTGATGTTCATACTTGGGTTTTTTGAGTTGACTTTATATGATACCTGTATATTATCATAAGGGTGTATATACATGTTCATTTTCAATGGTTTTTTGATGTGTCTTTGTGTCAGAACTGTGTTATTTATTTGTTCTCATTGGCTTGGCTATTTTCTAATTCATGCATTTCTCATATTATGGTTTTTACACTGCAGGTCACTAAGATGGAATGGTCAACCTCCACAGAAAGTCAACCGAGGCACCATATTAGCTGCCCTTGTAGATATCATCTGAATTTGTTGATGCTAGTGCAGAGCAGCAGCATCGGGAAGAATGATGTCGTGGGCATCTTTTCAAGCATGGACTGGCCCTGATACCATTCACTGTGGATTCTAAACTCTTTGGCATCAAAAACATAAATAGCAGTGTATAGGAAATGTAAATAATTTACTATGTATGGTTTGATCATTGTAAAGAATTGGATATGATATTTGGGATATATTTTGTTTGTCCTATAGATAATTATCAGCAGTTTCAATTTACTATGTATGGTGTTTCCATATAAGATATTTTTGTTTGTCCCACTATCTCTCTAAACGACCAAGACTTTTCCAGAAACGATCGCTTAAGCGATTTTAAATCGCTTAAGCGACCAAGGTCTGGGCAGGTCATTTTAGAAAGAATCGCTTAAGCGATACGCAAGGTCGCTTAAGCGATCATAGTCTGGGCAGATGTCATTCTGCCTCGGAAAAGATCGCTTAACCGATCATAAATCGCTTAAGCGACCATGTGTCTTTTAGGAATAATCGCTTAAGCGATATAAATGGGTCGCTTAAGCGATCATAGTCTGGCAGATGGCATTCTGCCTCGGAAAAGATCGCTTAAGCGATCATAAATCGCTTAAGCGACCATGTGTCTTTTAGAAGAATCGCTTAAGCGATATAAATGGTCCTTAGCGAATAGTCTGGGCAGTTGTCATTCTGCCTCGGAAAAGATCGCTA